GGGTTTATCCAAACCTTTCGGTGTTGTTTCAACATTATTACAGTTTATATAAGATTCATAACACAGTTGTACAGTAGCGCATGTACAGTTACTAATAAATCAATTTGAGCGGTTACATTACTTCAAAATGTTATCTTTAGGAATATTAATGTTTGAACGTGAATTTATTATACCTTCACCTGCCGCAAATAAATACTATAACTAATAAAACATTTTCAATATCTTTTCGCAGAATTGATTTCCATGATTTATTAAACTGTACTTGTGGTTTTGAAATGCATTAACAACAAAAACAACTGAAAAATTTGGGCATTTTCCATCCTTTTTAGATCACAGTTGTTTAAATTTCACACCTTTATAATAAGGCCTGTAGTACGCTGGATATCACGTCTATATTACGTCGTAATGTTGGTATTTTTTACGTTGAATATTAATCTAATAAGGACAGTAAAACCAACAGTAAATACGTTATCATACACTGTAAATGCAAAAATATTGATATAGACTTTTACAGAGACGGGTTTAGAAAGATATGGCATTTGTGCGCAATTGAAATGATAAATTTAAAACAAAATTAAGATATTTTCAAGCTAGTTTTCATATTTTGACTCATAATAGGAAAATGTGTTTTTAGCATTGTCGTTAACAATCGGTTTTCATTATGCGATAACAATCGCCACAGGATTGGTCATCGGTCATCGGAATGGTCAAACTTCGATAATACATACAAACGATCGATAAATACAACGGAACTGATAAAAGATTTATATCACACAACTATGGATTTAAAATCGCATTTAGTTTATTTTGAGAATAAACTGCTCAAATTCTCATTATGAAGCCAATTTTCAAAATGTTTAGGGATGTTTGTCAGGGCTGAAATCTCAAATCATGAATAAACCATGATTTCAGTGACAGAAACAGTTTTTAAACCTGTAAACCAAAATAGAGTTTGTGGAGATATACATTTTTCTTACAATTATTCAATTATTTTCAAACGCTCCTGAGAAGTTAATAAATGCTCAATGTAATATTGTTCCGAAATGAATAATGCACGATTCTAAACTATACGTTAAAATCCGATATTTTAGATTTAAGAAAATGCATTTTTTTCTTGATGTTCCATAAAAAAGAGAAGCGAGAAATGTTTTCTCTTTTTAATATTTCAATGCTAGCTAGCACAATTCCAAACAGTTATGCTCATATAACACTATATCAATAAAATGTTTCTCTCGCCAATATAAGGACAGCTTGTATATTGTAGGGTTCGATTTTTGTACCGTAAGAAACGCCCTGTTAAATCTAGAAAGAAAAAAAAAAGGTAATAGAAATAAAAATATTTGCTGTATGTATTTTTTGCACAGTTCTATTTATCAGATTGAGCAAAAATAGTTCCGTTTGATCTGGAAGTTTCTGCAAGATGCGATTTTTTTGTTTTATTTATTATTTGCAAAACAGCGAAACTGGAAGTGTTTTGCCATTTAAATAATTACCTCGGATATAAAAAACTATTATGCAGGCATGTGATTTCAACGTGATAAACTCAATTTTAGTTATTACGAGCGAATTTTTAGTAACATTGCTTTTTCGGTTTGTCTAAATCCAATTCGAAAAAAATTGTTAAAAATTTCGACAAACAGCGAATAAGAATTAAAAATTAGATAATGGTTCAAATCTGTTTGTTTTTTTCTTCACTGCTGTTCGATTTGAATCTTTATTATGAAGAGAAGCATTTCCTGTTTTGAAGTGGGAATAAATTACATAATAATGTTATTTCCGGCTACTCTTCTAAAACGATGTTTATTTTATTTTTCTCCTTTGTTAATTACTTTTGAAAATTATTGAGGTCACGTCATATTTCAGAAATGGTATAAAATTGAACATTTCACATAGTCTCTTATCTGATTGCATTATTGTCAACGTATGTCCATTAAATACAGTTATGTCGAGCGAGCAAATGGCGTAGTTGCATGAAATTTGCTCACGTCACGAGACAAAAATGGCGCTGCGTTGTCGCTTCGGGGCATTTGTTGATGCAGTTTTTTTCAAGATTACCTTCTCAAAATTTATTTTTGTTGTTTAAAAAATAGATCAGCTAGAAATAAATGTAAAAGTGACAAATCATCAATACAATTTTATCCGTCTTTATTTTTACAATCAAATTCGATTACACCACACTTTAATTTCTGAAATAATTAATAAATAAAATAGAGAAATTTCTAAAAATTTAAATCCTAAAATAAAATTTTATTTGAATATCCAGAAAGTAGATAGATGGTCAGTCACATACACATTTTCATTAGTTACAAAGAGTTTTATCGCTAACACTTCATCCCGGTTGAATAAAAGAAATTCATTTAAATCTTTAAAATTTACAAAAAATATGGATACAAGTGAAATAGCAACGTGTTCGTCCGTCTGTATTTACATTCTATATTATTCGCAGATGATCGACATAACCCGTATACGTATTATACAAATATATCCCTGTTTACACAAGTAGCGATAGTCCGACTGAATTCACTTATACTCAGAAAAGTTGTGTGAATTCTAGGAACATTGTCTCGGAGATTTCAGTCGTAAATCATGGACGGCCCACAATTAAAATACTTGGGTTATACTTTGACTATGCTTGGATGAGAAATTTATAGTTTTGTCTTTCTGTGACACCTTGTTCGTGTGTTAAACGTGTCACATTTACTAGATCAAATTTAAATTGTAAATTGCATTTGAGCCATTCATGGCAATAGCATGTATGTTGGGAAGCCACGTTGGATAAAATATCGAAATGGATGATATCATTCATTTGAACAATACTAACAAATACAAGGAGGAAGAAATTAATAATATCGTTATAAATTGTTCCGTAGTGTTTGATATTATAATTTGAACAAACACACGAAGAGAAATTTTATGTTTTAATATGACCTGGGAGTCAAGATATGTAAAACTTTTCGTAAGTGATTCGAAGTTCTGTTTAATTAGGTTACGCAACTTACAATAGTTCTTATACCACTCCATTATCAAATAACATTATGAAATATGGCAAAACGAAAGAGTGCGAACCCGAGTTTGATCGGTTTAAAATTGAATAGGATATTGGTTTTGCTACTTAATAGTTTATATCAGACTATTTGTTGCCATCTTTAACAATTTTAACTCCATTTCAACAACATTAACAACAAAAGTTTAAAATGGTAAAACCAACTTAGGTAAAAATATCATTTATAAACTTCCAGAGAAATTTAAAGTGAGAATTTTTGTCAAATTTACCTGATTGAGTTTATTTTCTCAATTTTAGGGTATCGCTAATTTCTGATTCCTAATGTTGATTTTATATCTGAATACTGTCATTTTTTAGAAAATAGCCATTGGACCATTGTACTTTGTATCTATTTTCGACCAGATCGTTAGATTGCGGCGCAAAGTCTTGTTGTTCCAACTGATGTATGTATATGAATCCAACCTATCAACGCGATCGCATTTCCAGGTGCGAGTCTGGGTCGAATTTAAAACCGCAAGACCGAACTAGGCTCGACTCAAATTATTTTATTTGAATCTTAAAATTGGGCATATCGGGTTAGAATAATATTTAATTTTAGCAAATCATTGTTTAGGGCACGTTACCATGGTAATGACTTGAAAAATATTCCTAAAAAAGAAATTTAATCTCAAGATTAGACCCGTGACGAACCCCGAAATGACCCCGAAACCACGATTCTTTCACTGAAAGATTCGGGAATTTTGTTGACAAATTCATCAAAATGTATTTCAATTCATCAAAATTACAAACGATTTTAAATTTGCGAGAAAATAAATAAAATTTGATAAGTTATTCGAAATTGTCAATAAGCAATTTCTCTCAGACTACTAAAAGAAATGAAGCGGGTATTAAGTATTATCTAATTTGAAAAATAGTTTTAATTGGTTCAGGAGTTCGTACATAGAAGAGTTCGTACAAAAAATTGAAGATATTTTGTTGACCATTAATACTTTGGTCATTTGAATGTTTGTTTATGCAAAGAAATAACTATCGTTTAACGCAACACGCTAGATGGCGCAACTCCAACTTTGTGTATCAGATATTTTACTTTCGTTTTGAGGTTAACATCGACTCCCAAACTTGAATAGATGCACGTAGACGCTCTTTTTTTTTGCGCGATCAATGCGGGTATATATAGAGCTGCTTGTGACTCAGGTATCACAGTCGAGACCGCAATATAAGAAGGATCGATAAGTTTCCTTTGTCCACGGAACGGTATACATTGCTATAATAATAGAGGTTCAACAATAAGACACTGATATTAAAGGTAGGATATCGTCAATTTGGACGTTGATATCTTACGTTAAATTGTTAAATGCTGTTTACATCTTTCAAAAATTCTAAAATCTAGCGTACTATTCACATTTCGGCGAAATTCGCTTTCTTATCTGAAAAGTAATTCGAATATCGAATTTTTTTCATGTTTATATTAGTTATATTGGTTAACCTATCGGCTTTTACCATTTTGTGAGAAAATAGACACTTATTTGAATCTAAATTACCAATGTAATACTCAGTAAATCCATTGTCATGGATCATGTTTTAAAGTGTTGGTAATACTACCATCAATATTGATTATGCTAATTCCAATCTGGTATTGCTGTCTATCATGCGTGTGGTACAAGTCGAATTTTTATTAAACGCAGTTTAGCTACGGCCAACATTCGGCGTTGTTTAAATTTACATTCCTTCTGATCGAGGAAGTCTTTCAACAGGTACCATGGCTTTTGTCGTCATTAGTTTAACGACGACTAAATTACATAATATATTACGCGCAAATTAAACGGTCAGCTAAAATTAGAACCAGCATTTTCGAGATAAGTTGGTTTTGTTATGGTTTAAACGGAAATAAAATAAGAAGACCGATGATTAACTTCCATTAACCTCGACTTAAGCCTCGAGGTAAATGAGGTTCTTTTTTCTTTAATAAAAAAATATCTTGTTAAAACGCTTTCAGCGTGTACAAGAGGTATTATATGGTCTGAGAGAAGTTTCGAAAGAAGATTTACTTAAAATGGGGTGTCTTTCATATGGCAGAATTTTAAAAAATAGATATATTCAAACTATACGTCGAAAGATGACACAGGTTGAGGAGAATTGTGAGAATTTGATCCAAGCGTTTCAGGAAAAAACAGCGTTGGCGAACAAGGTGTTTCAAGAAAAACCGAATGAACGAGTGACATCGTTTTCCTCGCGAAAAGATTCTGAAACAAGTGATCTTTCACTCTCTGACGACTCTGAAAACGAACAGTCTTCCACAGCTAATAAAAATGAAATTCATTACGTAAAAAGTGCGAAAGTTCTCGGTATCCACAAGCAAGACAGACCGAAAGTGAACTACGTGAGTGTTACATTAGAATTTTTTTATGATTAGAATTTACGACATTACCGCAAAACTTAAAGTTTTATCAAATGTATAAATCAAATAAAATTTCCACAAATTGAACGTAATTTCCACAAAATAGCGAGTATATTAGTAAGATTTCGTTAGATAATAGTCTAACTTTTTCATATAAAACAAGATATAACGCATTTGAAGCTGTGTAATAATAAAAGTTGGTACCTCCAGAAGTATGCGCACCAAGATGGCTCACAACCTGAACATAGCGTGTGAGTACCGGTTAGGATTCAGGTTGTGCGACATCTTGGTGCGCATACTTCTGGAGCACCAAAAGTTGTCTTAGGAGACCATGAATTTGATTTCGATATTGCAGCTCTTCGGCATTTTTCACTGCTTCGAATGAGTGACTTAATGAGTTCGGGCTTGTATTTCTAATTCAATAGTGTTTAGCGTAGAAATGTCCTCGACATCTGTAATCGGAAAAATACTACACGTGCATTGTTGAAATTGAAATATATCGTTTAAATATTTCATGTGAGATTCAGAATCAGTTCTTTTAAAGTTTGAGAAGATTTTTACAGTTGAATAAATTTACATTTCCTTTATTTATTTTGGGAGTCATTTAACGATGGAAATAAATAAAGAGTATTTGTCAACGTAGTATCTAATGTTGACCAAATATCGCATTAACAAGTGTTGGCAAATAAATTAAAAATGTTTAATTTGAGCTATCAGGGCATATCTTTATAATAGTGAGGTTTTAACCAGTTATTCACTGTAAGAAAACAAAAATGAGATGCATTTGTTATATTTTGATTGATTAGAAGTAAACTTGCTCAAAATGATTTTTTTTATTCATTTTTTTTATTGCAGTTGTATGTTCTGATTGTAAAGTGGAGTGACAGAAGTCAAGTAACGATCTACAGAAAATGGAAGGAGATAAAAGAATTGCAAGACAATTTGCTCACAGTAAGTGGAATTTATAGTCTAATCAGCATTTTAATAAAAGAAATACTTTTAATTATTGTTTCACTTATGAAACACTTAAGTCTTTATTGCAGAACGCAAATGAATAAGCATTTATAAAATTTATGAGAAATTTTCTTATCGAGGTACAATGTACTTACGAGGCTTTTGTATCAAATGATTTTGAAATCAATTGCGACCTATTGCACACAAGGGTTACATTAATGAATGTGGTATTATGTGATTTTCTTTCCCTCGTAACCGTTTTAGTTGAAGCGGACAAAATTATCATAAAATGGCGACAGATAACGAATTTGGATTTTCATAAATAATATTTCGATCATGGTCAATTCCATAAAAGTAGGTTAGATTCAGAAACTAATATAAATTGTAATTCATACTATTCGAAATTACTCTAAAATAGAACGCGCAAACTCAACGCCATATAGAGGTATAGTTCAAAATGCTTATCGTGTAAAATAATTTTTTTTATGAAATTATGACGTCGGCATATTATTTTTGATCACAAATTGAATGGTTTGCGTGCAACATTTATAATATTTCTACCGGCACAAAATTTGTAAAACAAAAAAATGATACCATAAATTTTCACGGCCCAATTTACCCATATAACGAAATTCAAAACGTAGATATAATTGCATAAGTGGAAATTATCAATTCTCGTGTAAGAAAAGTGTTTGATTGTTGTGGTTTTGCGATTTCATGTTATCGACAGTGAAAATTTTTCAAACTCAGAGAACCATAAGTTGATAATTGGAAAAATTCAAATTGCAAATTGCCAAAGTTACTATTTCGGTACTTGTTTTATATCGTATTATTTAAAATATTCCATATAATTCTTTTCCAAAAAGAATTTAAAACAACATTTGACCTCGTGCACTTCATGCAGCCCAGATGCTTCGTTCTGTATACTATATGTTTATCTTGTGTAATATATTTATCAGCCGCAATAAAAGTCTAATTTGAAACAAAACATGCACATTAATACCTGTGGATATGTTGGATGTATTACATAATAATGAAACATTAACAATCGTAATAGAGACTTTTGGATTTAATTGCATTATTTATAACATGATATAAAAGTAAACAGCACGTAATTACTCAGTCGACAAAGTCTGCACGAATCGAAATGTTTATAATTATAATTCGCTACAACTAAACAAAAAAAAACTAAACAGATAATTTCTGAAATTACCTGGTATTAAATCAAAAATTTAATTTTATTGATAAGTCTGTCTCAGGTTCAACTATTTTATTGTTACAAGATTATTACCTTTTTTATTTGAATCAAAATCACTCATTTTTAACCAAGACAAGTAGAAAATATGTGGCAACTATTTTATGAAACCGTGACATAAAGTTCAAATTGCGTCATAGGTTGCCAAGAATAATAAATCAAGCGAGACAAAAAGATATTTAAAGAAAACTACTCGACGAGTGCGAAGCGAAGCACGATTTGCGCAGGGGACAATGCAAAAATTGAAAATGATTGATGGACTGAACAATTTCTTTGAGGTATTTATTTGCTTTCAATATTTACATAATATTTTACATTCTTAGAAATTCAGTATTCGATTTTTATGTAAGTTTAGAAAAGTTTTATACAACAAAGCGTCATCAATTTGGTCATTATTATAAACTAATTACGTGTCACAATTTTGTATATTCAATCGTTTTTTTAGTAATTTTATGTTCGTTTTATTCATAGTCGGTGACGCACTTCGAAGACTTGTCTCATTCAAATGACGCTCGACGATTTTTTAAACCAAATGACAGAGATCTTAGTTCAACTTCTTGGAGGTAGGTTTTTATTCATTTAACATAATAACAATATTTCATAGACAATCAGTGCAAAAAAATAACTCTTTTTACTTATTTTGAAAACTGTATTCGTCGAAGAAATTCAGCCAACTTATTTGCTATAATTATTTTTTAAAACGGATTTTTATTCTCATTCTTTTAGCGGAGATGGAAGAACATACTTTTATATCACAAGAGATGTGTTATGCGAAAGGAATAATGCCTATGTTGCCGATGATCAAAGTGATGTTATAGAAAACGATCCTGAAAATAACTGGATTCTTGCGTCACAAAGCAGCGTCGAAAGCGAGGTATATATTGCTCTTATCATAGTGGTTGTGAAAGTGGAAAAAAGTTGATCATGTTATATTCGATAATAAATTCACGTAAAACTGAAAAATGATGTAAATTTACAAACATTATAGGTGACATCATCTGGAATGACTCATTCACAATTCATAATAATTACAAATGTCATTAGTAATAAACTAGTTAATGACTCAATATCTATCTTTCAATACTTATTAAACGTTTTAAATGTAAATAGTTATTATTAAAAATTGATTACGCCATATACAGAACTCAGAAGATTCTTTGACTGTGGCGCTGGACATAGCATATGAACCTGATCCCAATATTACATGGCCGATTAAATCGAGTGTTCACGTGGCAATTTGCGAATACAAAGCAACCGAAGATGATAAAAAGGAAAATATAATCAGTCTTGAAAAAGACGAGGAAGTCGATGTCTTGGATCGTAACGAAAGTGGTAGGTGATTATTATAATTTGTGGTTAAATATTCTAATAATTAATACTTTGAAAATTAAACTTTTCATTTGCCTAATTATTAACAAACCAAATATATATGAAAATATTTTTTATAATAAAAGAGTCGCACGCGATATTTTAATTATTTCGTCTCAGTTAGAAATATGAGTATTTCTGTAAACTTACAGCACTTAATCAAAACTCAAATTTTTAATTAATTCCGAAACTTAATTTTTTACCCGGATTTCTGATAAGTATCCCAATAATATGCAGATTGAGGATTCTCAAAATAGGGCTCATAATTTAAATTTACTCTATCTATCGTATTATGAATATATTAGGCATATGACGTAGATTTTATTAAATATATAGAGGAAGAGTTTATTTGTTTTGTCCACCAGAAAACATATACACAATAAAACATAATTAATAGAAAGCAAAATAGTTCTCGGTACAGACTGGGTGGCAACGATACGACCATGCGGTTATCAGAGTTAGTTACCACCCAATATTAATATCAATAAACATAAATAAAAAACGCTCCAGATATGAAGATATGTGTTTATATATATATATATAATTGTTGCTTTGAAAATATATTTATATTACGTTTGCTGATGTTATTTCTATATATATAAAAATTGAATCATTTCGTTAAGGTTGGTGGCTGGTTTCTCGCATAAACGAGAACAATCCTTCAGACAAAGCTCTCGAATGTGGATACGTTCCGTCAGATTATCTTCAAGCTATTGAAAGAGAAGACGCTTTCAGTGATCTACTTTCCCCAGATTCAGTTTTTGATCGTGAAAACTCGTATGAATATGTAAGTTATATTTCACATTTGTTTCTATAAATAGAGACATCAATATTGTGTCAATTTCATCAAAGCTAAAATATACCTCCTCAAAGCAAGGTCACGAAAACTCACTCAGAAATCAGAATGATCCCCGAGCGAAGCTACGGGCGACCACTAAATTGTTAAGAGCTATTGACAGTTTAAAGAATTTTAGTGTAGTACGTATTGAACGTTATTAAATAGCGATTGACGCGAGGCTTGAAGCAGTTCGCGTCGATACGTTCGGGAAAACATCTGTGAGGCAGTGAAACCCACGTAACTGAAGTTTTTACCAAAATATATACAACATAAATGCAGAATTAAATCCTACAAAATTTTGGTATTTGATCTTTGATCTTTGATTTTTAATCGTAAAATATTTGCATATGCTAATATGGAAGAAATACTTTTCAGGACCCAGATGTTGATGAATCCAGCATTTGTAGTAGCGAGGGAGATGCTGACGATGAACAGCCCGCTAAAACGACAAACACTCAGAAGACAACTCAAACAAAACTGTCAAAATCTTCTCCATCGCTGTCTGACTCAAGCTCAGACAGCGCTTTTGAAGAAAACGAGTTTAAGTACACTAACAAAAATCATGCTAAGCTAATCCTACTCAGAAACGGGCACACACCGGGAATGAACAAACGACATAGTCTGCCCGCTGTTCACGAACTTACAGAATCCACCACCGAGGAAGAGTCTTCATCACCTTCATTATCCAACTCTACAGAATCATTGAATTCTCCGATAAAATCGACGAAACTTTACAAGAAACGAAGGCAAAGAAACAAATCACATGTTGTTTCACCGCTAGCAGAATCTGGCAACGGTGTACCGTCTCTTGGTCCTCGCACGCGTTCAAGTGGAACATCTGGGGTAGGATCACGTTTGAAATCTCACGCTGCCAGAAGATCAACATTAGTCAACATGCACAACTCTGCTCTAGGAGTTTCTATGCCAAACGTTTTTTTGCCCGAATCACAAAGCAAGTTATCCACAAATGCCGCATTCGAAAGAAGAAGCACACTCGGAAATATTTCCGGTCTTCATTTTTGTGGATCAATGCCAGATGTTCACGGAAGATCATTCAACAATTCACCAAACCTTTCAACAGTCAGTCGGAGTTCCTCAAATCTCTCAGCAGCGAATAGAGTGGGGTAGGCTTATTAAATGATTTTAACTAAATGACAGATGATAATTTGCGTTCGCAATCGTAATGACTAAAACAAAAATATATGCAAAATATCATTGTGATGTATTAAGAGGCGGAATTCGAATTTTTAAGCACATGTTCTCTTTTGTATCTTCACTGAATTTTTACTGAACAATTTTTCGTTTAGAATGGATTATATTTCAACAAAAGAATATGAAGCAAACAACGCAGATGAATTAAGTTTCGAAGAAGGAGCCATAATTACAGTTTATCGAAGGAACCCAAATGGATGGTGGCTGGCGAGGTAAAGTTTTGAATTGATACTGTTTTTAATGAAAAACCCGGTATTGAAATCATTAAAAAATAAAGTTATATAAAATACATCGGTAAAAATAAATTGGAAAACTTCAATTGTGAAAGAAGACTAAACTTAGATGTCGATTGAATGGCCAAATAAATCTATATATATACATAATAGCAAATACCCCCCAATGAAACTGAATTAAACTTCAAATCTTGGTTAGATATAGCCTTCACATTGAATTTTACTATTCATCTTTGCATAACACAACGATGTCAAGGATCCCTATTATCAAGTCGTTGTGTTGGTTCCTTGAGAAAAATTAATGATTTTCATTTGTAACGTTGAACTACCAAGAATATTTGTTTGTTTGTTTTGATGCAAGTTCTTATGTTTTATTATTTCTTTCAGTTATCAAGGAAAGAACGGACTTGTCCCAGGAGTTAACTTGAAAAAGTACAACGATCCTTTGAGACGACTCAGTCTTCATGTATTTGAAATGTTGTAATATACTTATGTTGTACATTTATTGATCTTCCATTGATTTTCTGCTAGCATGCCACGGTTGACAAACATCTTGAAAATACGAATTTCTTCCATTATCAATCGCTAATTATTGATTTGAAGTATATATTAAACTTATTGCTTTTGCCATCATTTTTATATTCTATATCATTTTTCCAATTTTTTGTTTTTCAAATTATGCATTTTATCGATTTACATTATACTTTGCGCGCAAGTTTCGAAATAAAATAATCACATTAAAACTGTATATTTTAATCTGTGAAAATGAACTTCTAGGCAAGCATTGTCACGAATAATGCGGGAGGAAGTTTTGATTAGTCAGCTTAGCAATTGATACTCGGACAGACGGATATTACTACTGTTAGTGACCGTTGTCTGTATGTAACAGATAATTAATTTACACAATTAGGTGTAATTTTAATCAAATCTTTGCCAATTATCTCAACAAAAATCAATACCTTCGGTTTTGATAACTGGTCTACAAAACTAATTCTTCTCGCGGTAAATACTTGAAAACAGAAAATATATTATGTTATCTTTTGCCGGGCAACAGTCTCTGTAGTCTGTACACATTTTATGTCATAATTGTAATGACTATTCCCGTGGCATTCACAATATGAGATCCGTTTCTTGCGCGTTTCCGTCCGATTGAAGAAATCTATAGGTATGGATAGCATGGGCCCCACTCATCCCATTTATACCACACTCGTCAAGTAAGGACAAGCGTGGGATAAGTGGGTCATGTTTTGGAAATTGGGTGCTAAATGGGAACAAATCGAACCCGACAATTTTGAGAATTCGGATGGGAGATATTGTTGTACGACTGCTAGAACGCCATAGTATTACCAAATGAATAATTGATTCAAAAGAATGCTATTTTCGTAATCGTTTAAATTCAGAAAGTTCACAAGATATATATATATATCACCGGCTAATCTCAGTCAAATTTTAATTGTCTGTCCATTTCAATTTATTTTTCTATGCTATGACGCATGTGGAATATATGATTACCAAAGCAGTCAACAATTGCTTTACATCGCCAGCTCCATTGGAGTCGTCTACATGTGGCCTTCGCGATATATTGTGGCATTGACGCTCTCCCAAAAGGGCTGACTGCTGTAAAGCGATTGTTGACTGCTTTCGTCATCATATATTCCACATGCGACATAGCATAGAAAAATAAATTGAAGTGAACAGACAATTAAAATTTGACTGATTTTAGCCGGTGATCTGAATATCTGCAAGCTTTCGAAATAAGCTCAACAGTACCTGGCTTACAAATGGCATTCTTTAGTATATCATAGCTACGCGCGGTGCGTGCTATGTACTATGTGCGGTGCCACTAATTCAGGAAAAAACAGCGCTCTGTTTGTGAAAACAAATCGTCAACACTTAAACCACAAATTGAAACATCCCAGAAACTACTGATTTATTTAGGTTGAACATCACGCGCTATTATATTTGGTCATTTTAAACACCCAATAGACTATTGAATAGTTTTGCTAAATTGTTGTGGTTGTTGTTCTTGTTTGGGTGATTGTTGTTATTGTTATCGTGATAAAGAAGTTTAATTATTCAACACTTAAAGATGGAAGAAGCTAGAATGCTATTAAATTTATTGATATTTGAAATTATCTCTGAAACTTAAGATATTTTGCTACAAATTTGGCTATTTTATGTATCGAGCGCACACCGTCATATGATATTAGACCCAATTCTTTATACATTTCAATAGAATATAGCTGACATTGCATATTAGTCATTTGACCTTTGTGTCCGTATATTTGAGCATTGCTCTCTTATTTCTCTTTTATTATTACCTGGTGATAATAACCTTGATAATTTGATGATATAATTATTAATTGGTGATTACCGTTCCGATAACTAATCGCACTCGTGGCCGAATAGCAACGATTAGCAAGAAAGCATAAAGTTACTAATATTTTCCAGTTATTCAACTACTTGAATTTTAAATTTTCATGCTGTTTTCCATCCCACAAACAGGTTCAATATAAAGTAAATTCACAATATAAATCTGAGTAAAATAGAAATAAACCGGACAATTGTATAAATCGCTCAATTTCACTTCAACTTTGACATAAATTTCCGTCTTCAAGAAAATTGCTTATTATAAAAGTATCAGGAAAACAAAAACATAACGGTTAGGCTGTGGTCGTCTTCAAAAACAGTTTGAATTGAAATTATTGAATTACAAAAATGCACAAAATATTCGGTATTATTATCGGCTGATCTAAACAATTCGCAATGTAGTTCAAATTTGAAACACTTGTTCAATTTCCTAAATTTTGCCAAATTATAGGATCAAAATCTTCATTTTAATTTAAAAGAATAATTAAATATCAATCTTTCGATCTGCAAAATTCAACATTATATATATGATTAGGTTCTTTAATCATGGCGAAGAATATTAAGTTGTTTGATCTTTCCAATAATGTAATTAATATGTATCCCGCACTCTCGCCAAATTTACATCATTTAGCGATAAATGGTCAATGTATTATACTACATATTATGTTTTATAATAGAGTTTATTGTCTTTCAGAAAGCCGGAGGAGTCATAATTTGACCTAACTTTATTTCCTAGCGAGTTTTAAAAGGAAATGGGATAATGAAATATTGATTAATTTACAATGTTTAAACTTTAAACACTGCTGCAACTGATAATCGATGCACATAAGCGCCGTATATTAGCAACAATGAAATCTTCAAATTTTGTAAACATAAATTTTCCAATCACGGCTAAAATAATCACTTATTCCCTAATTCATATCACAGCATGGAAAATATCTCTGCGTTTCAGGAAGAAGAAAATGAGTGAACTCGTTTGAAACACTGGCAAATAGTTTGACAATGATAAAATTTAATAAAAGTCAGTTTTACATTAATAATGTTTTTGATAATAAATCACGACTTTGTAAATTCCTATCTCGGTCGTTTATTTTGTAGAATTTAATTGTGCAATAACAAAGCATCACTGAAATTTGCAAAATGCAAGAAAATATTTTGCATTAATATCTAAGATGAAGCAATACAACTGTTAGATTTATTGACTATTAGGATTCTCAAAATTTTTATTGTAACATATCATAAAAAGATATTTTTGTCACAGACGGATCTTGAATTTAAGAAAACATTATTTTTTTTTCAATATGCTTTCGCAATGCATCAGATTTACTCAATTCATATCTAAGCTCATGTGGGAATTCACGCGGTACTAAATGGTTTGTAGAAGCGCGAACACATGGAGCTCGTTGCCTGATCGCACTATGGATCGAAATTGCGAACACTTACCATAAAAGGTAACGCGTAATCGTTCAATGTGAATGGCGACAACTGCTTTCGCACTTAGCTCCCCTATATAACCGCACATTGACAAACAATAATCATTCCGAAGTTCAGTTCGATTTCTAAGCTTCAATACCACTCACTACAAAATCAAAATGTCTGACGGTGAAGAAGATCAAACCGCAATCGTCTGCGACAACGGATCAGGATTAGTAAAGTCTGGTTTCGCAGGAGATGACGCTCCAAGAGCTGTATTCCCTTCTATTGTTGGAAGACCAAGACATCAAGGTGTGATGGTAGGAATGGGACAGAAAGACAGCTACGTTGGAGATGAAGCCCAAAGCAAGAGAGGTATTCTTACTCTCAAATATCCAATTGAACACGGAATCATCACTAACTGGGATGACATGGAAAAGATCTGGCATCACACAATGTACAACGAACTGCGAGTCGCACCAGAAGAACATCCAACTCTTCTCACTGAAGCTCCACTCAATCCCAAAGCTAATCGTGAAAAGATGACTCAAATTATGTTTGAAACATTCAATGTACCAGCAATGTACGTTGCAATCCAAGCTGTGCTTTCACTCTACGCTTCTGGAAGAACCACTGGTAAGTTCAATGCTAAATAAGCGATATACATGACCTCATAAACAACATTGTCAGCAATGAATAATAAATAAATACCTTATTTCATAGGTATCGTCATGGATGCTGGCGATGGTGTTTCACACAACGTACCAATCTACGAAGGATACGCTCTTCCTCACGCAATTGCTCGTCTCGACTTGGCTGGTCGTGATCTTACTGACTATTTGATGAAAATTCTCACTGAAAGAGGATATTCTTTCGTTACAACTGCTGAACGTGAAATCGTCCGTGATATCAAAGAAAAACTGTGCTATGTGGCACTTGACTTTGAACAAGAAATGGCGACTGCTGCTTCATCAACCTCGCTCGAAAAGAGTTATGAACTTCCCGACGGACAAGTCATCACTATTGGAAACGAAAGATTCCGATGCCCAGAAACTCTTTTCCAACCATCTTTCATCGGTAAGTTGAACCATATACTTTATTCATTCAGTATTAAAATTCAAAATAGTTGAGAATAATTAGCCATATGTCAATAAATTATTCACGAGACTCAAACGACGTTTTTGCAATTTTCAGGAATGGAATCAGCAGGCATTCACGAAACAACTTACAATTCTATCATGAAGTGCGACATTGATATTCGTAAGGACTTGTACGCCAACAACGTTCTCTCTGGAGGAACCACAATGTATCCTGGTATTGCTGATCGTATGCAGAAAGAAATTACTGCTCTTGCACCAAGTACAATGAAAATCAAGATCATCGCTCCACCAGAAAGAAAATATTCTGTCTGGATCGGAGGATCAATCCTTGCTTCTCTCTCAACTTTCCAACAAATGTGGATCTCAAAACAAGAATACGATGAAGCTGGTCCTTCTATTGTCCACAGAAAATGTTTCTAAATATGCTCGGCAACACATAAAATTCTCACAATATGGATTAAGTTAAATTCGTATTAATAGTTGATAGTAAAACATTTTAATATATTTTAATTATTGGTCATTTGGCGAAAACTTTTTGATATATAATAAACGCAGTGTGCAAAATTTTGAATTAAGTTTCACTGACGTTTTGAGAGGTATAGCCAGTGATGGGATTCGAAATTTTAAAAGCAGGTTTTTTGTATCGTATTCACTAACAACAGGTTTCCTCATTTAAGAAAATGTATGTATGTCACAATGTAAGCTGCATTAACACGGCACGCATTACATAAATCTATCGCGTAACTTTCGGAGGGCAAATATACCTCTAGATGTTAGCTGCAATGCAAGTTTTTCTTATTTTCTTTGAAGCAAAAACAAGAAGGGTTCGCGCAAACTCGTGCGAACCGCAAGTATCCCACCGCTGGGTATAATTGTATGCCGTAGAACCAGTTGGGCTAATGAAAAGCAGATGGTATTGTGAGCCTTCGATTTAAACGTGGGTTCGGCGCCAAGAAAAGTTCATCTGAGAAAAATTGACAATTTAGTATGTGAGTTTTCAAATTTTAGCAATTTTATGAATTAATACACAGTTAAAGATAGGTTTGTTGTTCCATATTTCCCATATATGGAAATTTTCCATCAATTATTGTTACTCAATTCAGGTGCACTAAACGGGTTGATATGTTTAAATATATTAAAATATTTTCTTTTACAACAAACACAGAGCGTGAATGCCCTTTTTATTATCAGGGGTCTGGCGAAGGTTCTTAACTTTATCGTGCATTGTAGTCTCTTTCAAAAATAAATTGCCAAATGTTCCACCATAGAAAAAGTGTGCAAGATTTACAAAGGCTGACGACGTGTCAAAATCAAGAATTCTTTTCCATTGGTCAGTAGCAGATTCTTAAATTTATAATTTAATAGCATTTACTCATTTACTTTGTGTGACTGCACAAACAGTCAGGGCTGGGTAAGGGGCTACTATAGTTTCGGATAACTGTTATATTTCCAGTTTGCCAATGTCTTCCCAATTCATTACATCATGAGATTTTAACGTGAAATGCTGTGGACCGAAAAACGTAGCCGGAAGACTAAATAGTTAAAACGTGCTCACTCTCACATTTTAATCCAATTTTCAATTTTTATGAAAATTCGTATATTTCAGTTCGTTAAAATCACAGATACTTAGACCTAAATTTAAACCGAATGAAATTTCCAAATTACCAACCAAATAATACCTAATAATATAACAGTGACATCAGGTATCCATCTAATTAAAACTTGCACCTCCGGTATATCGTTATAAGGAAAACAATAAAAACAGGGATGAAGTCATTCCATGCCAATCTGGCGGGTATGCAAGTTAAGACACATATAAGAAACAATTGAAAAAAGGGTATCAACAACACAGTGACAAGAATGGTCTAACTCTAGGCCTCTAGGGCAATACCACGCGGTAAATGAAGAAACGGGGAACGACGAGGAAACGAAACACTGTCTTCGTAATCATCATAGAATAAGAATATGTTTACAATGTTCGAAATAATGGTATTGGCGCTGTACATTTTGTAGTAAATGAGCATGTGGTCTCAATAAGAAACTATCTTTAAACGGGTGAAAGGGTTATATGTCTAAACTACAACGCGAGATTGCGTAGCGAAGAAAACAAATAAACATGTAAACATTCGGAGACAAAGTAAAGTTAAACAGCGACATCATGCGACGCGAGTAAAGCAGTAAGGATGATGCCACGAATATCACCTTACTGATGGCTAAAAAGATTAGGCGAATGATCGGTAATCAATATGATATAACCACCAAAAAGCACTATTTTAATAAATCATTAAACGCATGTCATGTTTAGTGGTTATTGCAGAAAATTAATCTATTGGTTTACTTAATCGAACTAATTTCCTTCCTTATCATCTATCAATCGGTTCGCAAGATTATGATTCATCAGTGAGGGGGCGAGGAAGCATTTTGCACAAAACGAAATTTGTAGGTTTTGATCATATTAGGCAATATCATGCATATGTAATTACAAACACGGCCTACACAGTATCGATTGGAGCGTGATGCAATATATCCTGTTGTTCGATTTGGAACATCAACTTCGCCTTCACTTTCCTTAATTGTGATATCAAAAATAACAAGAGAGCAACGCTCAAATATATGAACACGTGGACTAGAGCGAAGCAGGGTTTACCTTTGACGTTACCGGTACCGTACCCTCAAAAAGTTCCGGGTTTTCAGTCGCAAGAATATTCACAGTCAGCCGTCACGCTTGGCGGATTAAAAACCGTGTTCCCATAATTGAAAATTAATACAGCGCAATTTTGGATGAAATATTAGATCTCATAAGATTCATAGAAAATTCAGGAATAAATGAAAGTAATAGCCTACTGGCAAAAAAATCAATCTTGAACCACTGAAAATTCCAAAGCAATTGGTCCAGTATTCGAAGAGAAAAGCGATTTTTTAATGATAATGACGAAAGAAAATAACAATAACAACAAAATTTTGAAACGATCGTTATGGCCACTAAACGTGTCCAATAATGCCAGATGCGATAATAATCACAAGAAAAATAGAGCAATTCTCAAGTTCATGGACACGAAGACTCACAAAAGAAACGAATCACATAGACGCCATTTTTAAAACAAATGAATGTAATAGCTTTCTAGCGACAAATACAATATTCAACCACAGAACATTTTAAACCTTTTTGTCCAGTGTATAGAGAGTAAAGCGATTTTTTCCCAACAAAAAAAGAGAATTTTAATAACAAGGATACCATAACAACCACAATAATAACAGCTTCCCATATTCAACGTGTATTGGCCGAAATGTACGTGGACTGAAAAATCTGTGAGCCCGGCGATATTTACTGGTGGATATAAATTAGGATGATGTTATTGAAGCATGAAGCATGGTTTATGAAATTAATAAAAAACTTATAATAAATCATTGAAGATTTCATCGAATTCTGAATATATATATATTTTAACCAAAATGTTAAATAAAGAATACGAGAAATACGAAATCAAGATAACAAGATGAACATCGACAAATTGTTGCAATTTTACAGGAAAATGTCATATGTACAAATGATATCTGTGGCTTAGATATGCCGTTTGCTGTAGACGCCAAAGAGCGGAAGCTTGTTCGATTTAGCCACTGGCACGGTTACTGACGTATACATCACGAAGTGAGGCGTCGTTTTCGCGTCTTGTCAGCTTGGATTTCCTGCAGATGACAAATTATTATCGCAAAAGAGCAGTTAGAAATTGTTGACAGACGTGACTTAATCTAGGTATAGAGGTAATTTTTCATTTTGAAATTTTAATAAATGTTCACTATAATTACCTAGCCCTGCGAATGATATTCATTAAATAGCGAAAAGTACAAAAATAAGATTGGTATGTAAGAGCTTGTAAAATAGCACAGAGTCAGTTTTTGCAGATTGAAAATAGGATCGGTACTCCCGAAGTATGTGCACCAAGATGTCGCACAACCTGAACCCCAACTTTGTACACAACCTGAGTTCAGGTTGTGCGCCATCTTGGCGCGCATACTTCAGGAGATCCATGGGATCTAGTATTATTGAACTCACAGTTTTTTTCGTGAGGTTTAAAAGTGCTGTTACTTTCCATGTTTTAGTGCAGTAAGTTTAGTGCATCGACTAACGTAACAATGAACTATTCGCAAAACAAAAGACCTAGGATGGGGCCTCAATCTGCCAGATATCAAATAATCGTAACGGTGAGAAACTTATTTTGCATTGTAATTATAAATTTATTCCCTTAGTACCCCTTAGTCACCTTAAACGATTTTTTAGATTTTTACGATGGTTTAAAATAATGAAGCTGCCATTAAAATAGGTATTTAAATTCAACTAGTATGAGTTGGAAACGCATTTATTATATAGGATTTTTATTTATTAGACACGAAGTGGAGCTTATGGATCGTTTTGTTGTTAAATTGTTGTTGTTAGTATTCTTGTTGTTGCTGTTTTTTTTCTTGACTACTGGACCAATTGCTTTGAAATTTTCAGTGGATAAAGATCTTTCCCTTGAAGGCTATTACTTTCTTTCATTTCAAATATATCTGCGGGCGCTATGGGATTCATTGCCCACTTTTTCTTTTTATCAATTCAAATGTAAAATGCTATATATTTTAAAATAAATCACTTTGAAAGTACAAAATCCTGTTTTTTGAATTCTAGACATCAAAGGCGTATGTTGGGGCAGAAGGAACTACCAATACCGTTTCAGTGGTTTTAACTGGAGAGAGTGGAAGAAGAACGGAGGAAAAAATATTGAGGGAAGATGGAGATTTGTCATTCAGACGTGGAGAAACCGATGTTTTTGAAATAAACGCGATGGATGTTGGACTTCCAATTATTGTTAAACTACGTGAGTGCGATTCTGCTTATACTTGCATTTGTTATTATATGCAGTAAGATGGTACTTCCGAAGTATGTGAACCAAGATGGCGGACACCGAAACGTAGTATGTGTACCAGGTTAAGGTTAAGCCATAATTTTATTCCAATTTTCCTTATTTTAGTTCTATTACGAGTTCAGGAACTAGCCAAGTGACTCCCGGGGCATTTATACCTGAAATTATGGCCTAATCCCTGCCTGGTACAAATACCACATTCCGGTGTCCGCCATCTTGGTTTAAGGTTGCATAAGAGAGGATTACATATCGAAATCCGTATTATTCTAAAAACATATATTTGTGGAAACGTTCTGATATTTACTCTGAGTGTTTTGAGAAAAGAAGTGATTGCAATGCATTTGTCGGCTAAAGCGAAGAGATTTTTGTTGTGATTTAAGCTATATTTTTTATATATATTGCCGGAATTTGACTATAAAATATTGAAAATGATCCGGGGTTGAAAAGTCAGAGTTCAGGGTAGATACGCGCACAATATTTGATACGGGATGTACCAATTTGAATATATTAAACACCAAAGGAAATTATTCGATACTTCCGATAATATTGAGTTTTCCTAACTTTCTGACGTCTTAGTGACTGCCTTCCCGTGGCTAGTCTCAATTAGAAGGTATAGCTATGAAATTATGAAGCTAAATCGGGCTTTCTGGTCAAAATTCTATCTCACGACATGATCGTTCACAGAGTATATGCTCGATTCGAATATTTCTTTCGTCCAAGTTTATGAATTGGTAAATGTCTAGAATAAACTTTGACCAATCGAGAAGTTTAAACATTATTTCACTGAAGCCAAATAATTTAGGTCTTCTTGAACATACTGGCAAAGATCCTTGGGCTGTGAGAACCATTGTGGTGAAATATAAAAACGAAGAAGTTACGTTTCCAGTGTATGATTGGATTGAAGATGAAATTTCAGTCACTTGCGGAGAAGGTGAGAAAATTTTTATTACAAAAATTCAGTGCAAAATTGTTTTCCGGCGCTCCAGAAGTGTGTGTACCGATATGGAGGTAAATGATTTTGTTCGCCTACTCTACATCAAGTTGTGTAAAGAAACTGAAACTTATGGGGGTATATTCACTTAGCTAACACAGACAGTCCCCGAACTCGTAATGGAGCGGTGCGGTTCTACGAATAAGCACGGGAGTATGATCGCCAAGTCTGAAAAGGCTTTCGTGTGCTGCAAAGCGATACAATAGATTTGATAGCACAATATGACAAAACAACAAGGTCTCATTAGATAAAATAGAAAACAACGAAGCTCTGATTAACGATCGAGCAGCAGTCATACCAAGAAAGAGATTCAGAAAGCATGGTCACGTGGGCAAAGGTTGCCGTAGTCATCTGAGAAAACTGGAAATATACTGATTAAAAATTCATAAAATAATTACTCTACCTGTAATAAATAGTTGAATGCCGTGAGTCTGAAATTCTAAAAAAAACATTTCAGAAATACCTGTTTAATTCCATTACTATATATATATAGATAATGTTGGGAACTTTTTTCTCTCTCTCAGCATTGCTTACGCATAAGATCCGAAACAAAGATGTCTTAGAGATGCGAAAACTTGAAGTGGAGAAAGCACAGGCTAAAATTCAATGGTCTTCTCCTCCCGGACCTGAGGACTTAGGTCGAAGAATGCCACGTTTCATGAATGCGAATACAGTTGAAGAAATGCCATTGACATTTCGACCTACAGAGAGTTGGATAAGTTCTTTTGCAGAAAACGACATAGAAAATGGTGCAAAGAAAGCTATGGGACTTGCACAAAGTAGGTTCCAATTGCTAGTATTGGGATATCCAACATTGTGTCTTTGTATAATACAACATTGCGTTATTATTGGTATGTTATTAATAGGAAAATGACTCAAAATGCACAGAATGTCTACTTGGGTAAGCTTTCTTGCAATAAATCGGTCAACTATTATTTCCATTGCACATGTATCTTAAATACCAAGTATATCTATAATCTCGTTTCAATATAATTCGTTTAAATTTTTCTATCAAGGCCAACAGCTTAAATTGGACAGTCTGGAAAGTTATCATGAACTCTATGCTTCATTTGAAGACGGCAAAGAAAGATCTTCTCATTTGGACAGGTGCAGGAATTTAAAACATTTGAGTATTGTTGAATATCTGAAAAAGCATGAGGCATGTGGAATACTTCCTATCGTGTTGAATATCATTTGTATATGATTTATATTACGCCATTAGAGAAGGAATTAAGAACAATTTCCTTATGGACTTTTTCGGATGAACTATGGTGATCAAACATGATATTTACCAAAGGAAAATCAGTGATTCTCAACCTTTTTTGCTACATTCCCCTCTTTGCTGATTTTGAAACTTTTCATTCCTCCATGGTATGAGTATAAACCCCGCTTCCGTTTGTTCATCAATATTTAGTGGATGATTAGATACTTGCAACATACTCTCGACATATATACGACTTCGGTACAGTTTCAAATAAGTGAAAAATGTCAGTTATACTACACACAAATACAAAGCAAAAATTTCCTCTTTCGAAAAATTGAAAACCTCCCTCAGATATGATTACCGCCGACTGAGTACGTCTAGACTCTAGATAGATTTTGTTTTAGATCAATGTTTGTTTCCCAACCGGGGGTTCATGGCTCCTAATTGGGCCACGGAACAGTTAGAGGGAGGCCACAGGTCCTGAAGGGGGCCGCGATCACGCGATAAATAAAAGGTTAAAAACCACTGATTTAAGCATTGGTATTGCTTCTGAAAAACACAAGATGGAAACTTATTACGCTTCCAAACATTAAAATATACTAACTAAAAAACTACTTCTAATATTCTGCATATAGGTAGTGATTGTTTGGTTCAATACGCCATTTCCATCATTCCCTCGTTTAGATAAAGATTTGTTAATTTATTTGTTTCTTATTGAAGATGGCAGAGTGATGAGGAGTTTGGACGTCAGCAACTCAACGGAATCACACCAATTTCTATAGAAAGGTTTGTGAACACTTTTTTAGAATATTGAAAATACATTCACAATTAAAAATAACAAGCTTCAACTTAATTTTATAACTCGAATTTTGGGCGCCACAATGGCAAAGATTCCGGTTCTTCTCGATAGGCGTAGCTTCTTACATAACGTTAGATGTACATGGCCTTGTTCGCAGCGAATTACCATGCGTACGTTTCGTATAAAAAAAACTAACCACGAATGTAGATATTTTTGTTTGTATTGCTAACCAAACACTTATGACCAGATAAAACTATATTTTTTATATATGCCCTGACGCAAACAATACTATTTATAATGAGTTGGAAATCAGCAAGACCACTCACCCAGATAAAACTGACAGTTTTTTATATTTGGTTCCATTCATTCCAATAAAATCCACACTATCGCGATGTAAAATCACATTCCTACTTTATCTGTACTTTATTTTTGACGCAGATGCACAAAACTTCCAGAAGTATGTAAAATAACGGACGATGACGTTCGAGAACTGATTGGTGGATACTCTCTTCAAGAAGAAATGAAGGTATGAGTGCCTTGAAGATGCTAATGGTCATTGTATTAAATATGATACGTCCGTTTTGGGTTTATTGACTAGTTTTCAGACGAAAATGACCTTGACGTTGCTTCAACAGCGAAAAAAATTTTCTTTAGTTTTAAACGAAAGCACCAAAGTAGAATACAAACATTATCAAATGTTAAAGCAGTGTATAGAACTTGTTGTTATAATTCTCACAATATCAGGAATTAATATGATATGTTTGATCTATTAATTCCAACATTTTTCGTTAAAATTCGCTTATTTTGGAAATATTTATTCGGATGTTTTGTACAAAGGTCCCGCAAAAAACATTCCCGCCAACGCTCAAAAAAAAAAAAAACTAGTAATTATACAGTTTGGGTTTAGAATATAGATTCAAATCATTTTTAACTCTAACCTCAACTCCGACTGGAAAGTTACTAATTTGTTACTTAAAATCTTGCCGGAGATGTTTTTGTCAAATTTCAAATTTTCGCATTAGTGACTAGGGCTTTGTACAAAAGATCCCTTTATTTCTCTCTTACTATGCGTAAATGGTTTATTTAACGGTTCTTTAGCTAATGTTGTGCACAAGTCGAGCTTCTACTTTTGTACAGTTTAAAATGTTTGCATTAATGGGAATCATAGTAATAATAAATAACTAGAAATAGAATACCGCAGCAAAATTCCTCCCCAAGAAAGACAAAATTCGTTTCAGAGAAGAAATTTCTCACCGATCGAGAAACGCGGAATTGTGCAGTGATAAGAAATGATAAGGCAGAAGATAAGAATAAAAGCTCAAAAATTAGAAGAGATCTATATACTGACACTTGAATAAAATAACAACAACTCAATCTGAATTATTAACCACAAAATTCACTTTATAGGATGGAAAAGTTTACATTGGTGATTACAGCGAAATCTTTCACGGTGAAATTCGGAACAAAGACGTTGCTGGTAATCTACTGTACTGTCCCGATGCAATCTGCTTATATCATGTCAATTCGGAGGACAATTTGGTTCCGATAGCTATCCAGCTTGTACCAAATGATCGTGAAACTATTTTTACGCCCAAAAGTTCACCCGAGGATTGGATGCTTGCTAAAATGTATATGAAAGTGGCGATGGGAAACTTACATGAGGTGCGTTGTTAACACATTCACGTCTAACTGGAGATTAGAAGAGGATTTTGTATTACTTCATATCTATTTTATGAATTGTGCGTGAACACTGATATGACAAGTCTCCTATTCTTGATTATAATGTGAGCGTGCATTTTTAGTAGAATTATGTCATGTATGCCGGCGCTTAAGGTATGTGAACCAAGATAGCGGACACCGGGACGTAGTATGTGTACCAGGTTAGATCATAATTTCAGGAACAAATACTACGGGAGTCACTTGGCTAGTTCCCGAACTGGAAATAGAACCAAAATAAGGACATTTAGAATAAAATTATGGCCTAACCCTAACCTGGTACACAGAATACGTTCCGGTGTCCGCCATCCTGGTTCACATATTTCAGGAGTACCCAATAATATAATCACCAGACACCTAATTTACATTTTACTATATTAATAAATACAATAGTACGATATAAGTTTTTTAACTTCTTTATAAGCTTAATTGACACACTCTCATAAACTCAATAATTGACGTTTTTATCAGTTTCTAAACTTATACAAATGGGAGGATGAGTCAGATCATTTAATATGATCTCTGAGATGTAGAAAATGGTGCAAGCTTGATTTTTTTTCTTTTCTTCTAGTGGTCTTATCATTTTCTTATGACGCATAATGTAATGGAGCCGTTTTCAATATCGTTGTTCCGATCTTTTCCACGATCTCATCCTATGTATAAATTATTGCACCCCCACCTTCAAGTGGTTACAGTGATCAATACCATTGGCAGACCAAACTTGATGGCAAAAGAATCAGCGTCAAATAAGTCAATTGCAATTGGTGAGTTCTTCACTTATAATTGAAATAGAAAGACTGGTTCTTATTGTCCTAATTTTTGAAAGGCATAGGCATATTTAATTTAATATGGTGTACATGGGGACCAGTGGTTCTCAACCTTTTTGTTAAATTCTCCCCCTCCTCATTTTGAATCTCTTTTTCTTCCCTATGCATAAAAAGTACTTTATTTATTCAATCAATGGAGCCTTATCCAAAGTTATGCTAAAGTCGCACTCCCGTTATCTACAGTTTAAGTAGTTGGTAATATATATATATACTATAGCAAATACACAGCAAAATTCCTTCTCAAGAACTACACGTTTTCGTCGTCGATTCCAAAACAATCCTCATAAAAACTACTAGCAAAGTAAAATTGTTTCCAGCTATTCTTGAATCATTTCATTTTGATTTGCTTTAAAAACGTCATTCTTGTGGCGCTCGAGAAGTATGTGGTACCAATATGGAGGTAACTAATTTTGTTCGCCTCCTTTACATCAAGTTGTGTAAAAGCCTAAAGGGACTGAAACCTATGGGCATTGGGTATATTCACTTGGCTAACACAGACAGTCCCCGAACTCGTAATAGAACAAAAATGAGGAAAATCGGAATAAAATTATAACCTAAGTCTAACCGGTAGTACCATTTTTATTATATAATTTTCTTTCATTTTATGTTTAAGAGGGAGAGAACATAATAAGACAAATTTACAAGAATTTTCATTTTGATGATCTTGTGATTCCAGAAGTTATCAAGAAAAAGGGTAACATGAATTATAGTATTTAATATGTTGCGGAAATTTTTATTTATTACTTTATATTTTTCAAACAGTGCAATTCAGCGGTGTAAATTTATAGGTAGGAAAACTCCTGTTACTTCAAAGATTGAAACCATACCTGTATGCAATATAAGTAAATCAACATTGCTACCCCCCTTATTGTTATAATCCCATTCGGCAGATTTACTCCGTATTAACATTCCACTTTGGTTTATAAATGCTACAGATATTTATCACCTTTTATTTCACTAGCCTTGTGTTTTGAATAATGATAAATGATTGATAAATGTTTTAAAATACTTTACAGGATTAGATGACAAAAAGCTTTTGCCGAAGTTTCACTACCGAGATGACGCTGTTGAATTGTGGGAAATTGTTGAAGACTTTGTTGGTGATGTCATAAAGCACTACTACACTTCTGACAATGTAAGCTGGATATGGATTTTAAAGACGTCCATGCTTGCTTGAAAAAATATTTTAAAAGCTATTTATTTCTTTAAGATTTTACGAAAATATCGCAAGCCATAATAACACAGAAAAAAAAAAATTAAATAATACATTAATATTATACGTTACATAAGCACGTCCCACTAGGCCAGGGGTCGGCAACCTTTTGTCGCTTGCGGGCCAAAATAAGGGTTGTAAGTCATTGGCGGGCCGCACATATTTTTAGAAAGTTGAAAACCGAACGTATGATACGTTTTATAATAAAAATCAAGCAGTGATACATCTCTCGAAGAGTATGTAGATTTATTTTTTCATTGCATTGCATTTCAAAATATTCCATTTCAATATTCGGCGCTATTGAACTCTTTGTAGTTAGCATCAACCTTTCTGCGTTTTGTTGCAATTCATCTAGTTATATTTAAAATATATTCTCATTAAGCGAATAATTGTGAATTTTATAGGTGTTAGATTATAATATAATTTAGTCTACACGTGTCTCAGAATAAATTCTGTTACGTTAAGAATATAATCGTCAAAACAGCCGTTTTGTTACTATAATTCAGTAAAGCGTCGGTTCAGGTTGCCGAACCCTGCATTAGGCCTTTGAATTTCCTGTGATCATATGTAGAGTTACACTTTAGTAAGGCTTCTAATTCATTCCCGATATGGTAAAAGAATGTACATGGCTAGAAGCCGTGACAGATTATTTCACATTAGCTTTTTGATAAACTTTTTAATGATTGAAATCTAGTTCTAGTTCCGTTATATTTTGTATTTTCATCAGGATATTCAATTAGACGAAGATTTGCAATGGTTTATAAAAGATGTGGCGGAGAAAGGATGGGCATGGTTTGATGGAAATAAACGAGGAATTCCTGTACCGTTGACATCCATTCAAGAGCTGGTAAGCAGATATTAGTCTGCTGGCTATCACATCGTACTATTTGGGGACTAAATGTTCTGCAATAATGCCATGTTCAAGAAATAGTATTACTATTATTTATAAGTGCGTGGTAAATTGTAGGCAATCTCTTGGCATATTAAAGAAAAATGGTAGAAAACAGAAGAAGATCGTGGTGATTCAAAATGGATCTTGTTTAGAAAGCCGCCGTCACTAATACAAAAATGTGAGATTTATCAAAACACCCCCGCCTTGCCAGTACTGCAGATTTCACTCGCCATGTTAGGGTTACGTGGCGCACTGAAAATCAGGCAAGGCTGGACATATCCCTTTCGTCTACTTGTCTAGGCCAATAAATACCGCACAATCATCAACGGTACAGCATGGCAAATGGATAGTATGCTTCTTTTAAAAGGTCCACATTGTAAACGGATTTGACAGTAATTTTACAACCAAATTCATTTTCTTTCCTACTTAAAATAAACTCTAGATTGGGTTATAACAGTTTCATTTAGATATTTCTGTACTCAAGCACAATCCATCCCAATATAAGATTTCAAATTTGGTTCAATTAGTTGATGGGATACACCAGCGGTTGTCTACCTTATTCGCTGAATTAAACGTGGAAATACGCAAATAGTGCTTTTGAAATTTGGGATCATTCGTGTCATTGCTCGTAACAGTCAATATTTTTTTTCAGATTCGAATCTGTACTTGTGTTATTTACACAAGCTCTGTACAGCATGCCGCCATAAACTTCCCTCAGTACGAGACTTATAAATATGTACCAAACTCACCATTTGCAATGAGACTGCCACCACACAAGCAAGGAGAGGTATTTAGGATATTTTTTCCTCATTTATTTTTAATTTTTCCAAACTACGTAGATCATTGCAAAGAAAAAAACTTTCAACAGCGGAACTACAAGATTTATGTGTATATTGAGTGACTATACTTACTCCTATGAAATTGACTGTGTACATTACTTGAATGGCCGTATATGTATATCTAACTGGGTGTATAAACATGACATTGGCTGTGTATGTACATTTCCAAAATGGCTGTATTTGTATATCAATTGGCTGTATATGCATATGATATTGGCTGCATATGCATATTTAGTTGGCGTTATATATAAATTTAGTTGGCATGGCATACAAGTATATTTTTGTTTGTATATGTATATCACGTTACCAACTCCACTCGAAAAATAAGAATATACCTATTGTCCGCCAATACCATCCAATTTTTTTGATCTTGGACTAAACGATGGGCTCAGGAATGAGAGCTACTTATAGGATTAGGATATGATTTCACATTTATTCCGAGGGAGAGGAAAACAGATAGCAAGGCTCTATGATATGACGAACCACTACCTCTTGTTTGGCTACCCGTTTACGTCGGGTATAAGATTAGTTACCCAGTTATTTGCTGCAGATGCAAGGTCGTGATAAAACTACGCCAACACGATCACGTCAACGCGCGAATATAGAAGCCAAAACCTATCGAATATGTCCAACGTGCTTTCAACATTTTTTATCCAATCATTCATCATCAATATCACATTTGATTCAGTAAAGTGCATTTAATGCCCCTATTTAAAATCTATGCTCAATTGGTAAGGTTTTTTAAATGTAAAATCGCGTTATATTTTATTTTAATTTATATCTTTTCAGGCTACGATGCAAAGAATATTGGATTCTCTCCCTAACTTGTTTATTTCTTGCTTATCCATATCAGTGGCCAGTGGTTTGTCGCAATATCACGACGAAATAGTAAGTGAAAAGTCATTGATATTCACAAAACAATATTTAATTAATGATTTTCAGTGGTTAAACATCGCTGTTATCGCTAGAAGGCTATTACTTTTAAATCAATAATTTTTATGGGCATTTGGGGATTCGTTTTCAACTCTGAAGTTTTGTGTGATGATTTCAACAAAATTAAAAACTATGCACTGCATGACGGTTTCGCGATAGTATTTCAGCAATGTCAAAGTCTGCAAAGTCGGGAGTATTGGATAAAGTAGACTACAGGTACCGCTCCTGTAAGAGATTTGATACCGGTAGACTACTCCTTATTTTTTTGCCCTTCATCTCCATATGTGTGAGCACTGCTTGTGTTTTTTTGTCCTTGTGTTTATCGTGTGTTTGTTTTTTCATCGCAAATTTTTCATCATTTCAGGTTTTACTTGGAAACTATCCAATCAAGCTTTTCACAGAGAAGGAAGTTCTGAAAAGCATTGAAAAATTTAAGAAAAAACTGGACAAACATGATGAAAGAATTCGTAAGAGAAACGACAAACTCGAATTCCCATACGTTCATCTTCTGACGGGAAAAATACCAAATAGCATCGTTATATGAACATTATTGCACATTAATATTTACACCATTATATGTATAAGCAGAGTTTGAATTTTGTATAACAATATTTACATTGTGTTGAAGATGTATTGTAAAAATAAAGAAACAAATAAGTCTTTCTTGAACCTGCCAATATATTTTTGGTCACGTTTGATAAGGTTTAACAATAACCTACCTAGGGTGACCATTCCTTTGGATTATTAGATATGTCCGAATATTAAACGTTAATATTAGCGTCTGATAGAAATGCCAAAAAAAGAATGAACTTTCCGAGATTTTAGCGGCAACATTCTTATATATATATAGGTATTTGGGTACTTCCGTACAGTGTGTGTACCAGGTTAGGGTTAGGCCACAATTATTTTCCGAGTTTCCTTATTTTAGTTCTATCACGAGTTCGGGACTGTATGTGTTAGTCAAGGTGCCCATAGGTTTCAGCCCCTTAGACAACTTGATGTAAAGTAGGCGAACAAAATTAGTACGTCCACATTGGTACACACACTCCACTCCGCCGGTATTTAAACTATCAATCTTCACAAATCAATGCATTGTACCCTGGGGTTCGTCAGAAGTCCCCTGGAACAGTTATATATATATAGTGAAACATTTTTAGTACCCAGCCTACTAATTGAGAAAATAAATCAAAATTACGATACTTCATCGAAGATATAGAATCCTGGGAGTCTAAACAGCTCGTTAAATAGCTTAGCTGGTTGTAGCTTTACTGGACATGTCAATGACTGTTACATCTTAATTTCTTTACACTTCCTTAATAACAAATATCGTCACAGATGTCGCACGCTTTAGAAGTTTTATATGCTTCATGCTTTGACAAACTTTTGGGTTTTAGATTTTTGCGTGCGCAACACCTTATTCTGGTAATTTAATAAAGTTTCGATTTTGGCAGAAAATTACTCAGTAGACCCGGTAAATTATGCCGAAATTACCCAAGAACTGAAGAAAAAGTATCTATGCTTTGGATAAGGTCGACTGATAGCGAAGCGTAGTGCATTACTTTCATATATTTAAAGGCAAGCTTAACTTACAATAGCACGTTGATGAGACAAAAAGGCATTATTCCATTTTCGTCACTTTGTCTATAAAGAATTAATTACATATGTGTAATGTATATCTCGGGCACTGGAAAAATATGGTTCTACCAAACAAAGCGTTCTCCATTTATGGTTTGGAAATATGGTCACCCTCCATTTAACTAATTATGAATAACTTGTTTTCAACAAGAATAAAACTAAAATCGAACAAAATTTGGTCTAATGCTCTCCACCAGTGTTGTGTACCCCTGCGTGTAACTTGACGCTGTAACTCTGAGCGGGTCTTGCAGATTTTCTTCAGTATGGCGTATTCCGTGCTTAGATCCTTGTGAAGTTCATGTCAAAAATATTGATTCACAAAGATGGCTTGAATCAAACACTGATCTCGTAACATAGGATTGCTGTTTGAGCTTGCGCTGACCAATGAATAGTGGCAAGATGTGAAGTGCCTCTTCGTTTGTCGTCGCTATAGACTGCCCGCATATGAGACATACGCAAGCTGTTTTTACGGTGGTAAAAGGAAATCCATCTCCCATTCATCGTGAAAATGGTAGATTTTCTTTCGTTTTTCTGCCATTTTTCTTTGAAATCAATAATTGTATTATTGGCATTGCTGCTCCACAAATTAAAGGACATGAAAAAAACGCGGGTTCGTGGAAGGTGACATCTGTGTGATGTCATAATTGGGAGAGTAATAAATGACCCGTCACATTACTGAGGTCAAATAAAAGTTAAAATGATCGTTACCATAATAATCGACATAGTGTTATTCTCAGTTCCCAAATAAGACATAAGTGGGATTTATACAAGAATAACATGACAAAAATTAATTGATGTAGCTTACTTATAAGCGCCGTTATTTAAGCTTATTTTGGAACAGACCTGCGGGCGACTCGTGTGGTCTTCTCGGGCGACTTAGTGCCCGCGGGCAACGGGTTGGTGACCCCTGGTCTATATAGACGTTAATTTGTCGAAATTTGTGCATAACAATCGAAAACCAGCGATTCTTGTAATGCAGTAAATAATTTTGAAACTTTTATCAATTTCCTTTGTTAAATAGAATATGAAAAGTCAGCTTAGGAAACCGTCGACAGAATTTGGCGTTTTTTTTTACGAGAAAATATCCCTTGAAAAAATAATAAATCGCTTGAAGAAGTAACCGCTCGAGCAATAAAACCAAATGCTGATGAAAATGTACTTGAAATTGGATTCGGCCTTGGTAAGTGAAAAGCTTGGAAATTATTACAAAAGATTCAACAAGGTACACTGACGCTGTACAGAGGACTAGATTCTTGAACGTAAATGAAGAAAACATCTTCGATCCAGGATTGAAGCATGATTTTCGACTCATTTTTGCCACAAAACCTGATTGATGTTTACATCCCGAAACAGTAAAAACTTTTATTGGGGCTTCTAGAATCACTTTGCAGACCATTTTGTAAATAGAAGAACTTTTATGTCAATGTAAAAAATCTTCTGTGTCAATGTTCGTTTGACTACAAGAGGAATCATTTTGAAGTTATAAAATAAATATCTTTAAAGTATCAATTTATTGTATTAATGTATGGCAGGGTTCATTACATATTTTTTCATATTATGAAAAAAGTAATCTGTCGTAAATGAAACGTTCACTACTTATATTATCTACTAAAACACATAATCCTACACGTAATCTGTTGATGCTTCGTTTCTGTTTCATGGAGGTGTTATTAAAATGGTAGATATGTGAAATATTGTACTGTAGGATAATAGAATAGCCCTGCAACCTTTATCAAAGGAGGGAAAAATACAGATCACTGGGTGAGGCCGCGGTCCGCACCGTCATTTAAGATATAGCATTTATATTAGTTGTATACACAAAACTTTTTTTTTGTCATTGATCTCACGGCATTGTTATGGGTCTGTCTATGCGGAAATGGCGAGTTGTAATTGCTATTTAAATTTATTGTCACACCGACTTTAAACGAATTCAGTGAGACCTACGTTTTTATAACATTGTGTATTTTGCAACAGAATTTTGCTTGTTAGTTTTGCTAATATAGCAGTGGCACGCAGGTATTGCTCCCACATGCCAAAATAACTAAACTTAAAACTGGTTTCTCGGGCACACTATTCAAAATTGGCCATATTTCCGCGGGCCGCACAATTTTTCCATGTGGGCCGTATCTGGCCCGCGAGCCGCAGTTTGCGCCCCGTAACTGGCCCTAACCCTAACCCCTGGAAAAGACGATTATAAGTGAAACAAGAGAACAATGCTCAATATATGGACATAACAGCCAAAACTAAGCAGTACGGTATGCAATCTGTCGCAGCAGACTATAGGTACCACATCTTTGAAGACTCCACGTGACCACCAGATATCATTTTACGCGAAAGGAGAACCGTCACAAGGTGCGCAATTTTTAATATTGATGTCGTCATCACACACACAAAAACGAAGGCCAAAATGAAAAGTAGCACAGGTATGAAATCTGTCTGGACTACCGGTCCAGCAGTGTTTACGACTAACGGATTGCGGTGCGCAATTTTTGGTGGCCCATACAGCCAGTAGAAATTTTTGAAATGAATCAAAGTAATACCTTTCTAGCAAAATATAGAATCTTCAATCGCTGAAAATTCCAAAGAAATTAGTTCAGTAATAAATGAGAGAAGGGATTTTTTTCATAACGATATAAAAACATAACAATGCAACAGTACGACTTAACCGGAATACCGGTAGGTGCTCGCCACTAATATAGTCTAGTAATAATTAGTTCAGAAGATACCGTGTGCTGCAAAGACACACAAATAGGTTCGAAGTTCACGATGCAAACGAAATACTTTATTAAAATAGTGTAAAATCCACGATTAAAGCAGATAGAATGGAATAGCGACAAAATACGGTCCTCACTCAGCGACAGCAAAAGCAAAGGGAGCGAACGCTGCGAACTGCAGCCAGTTCATATATGCAGTGGTGGTTGGAGTCGAGTAACAGGATCTAACTATAGGCCGAATTATGGATCAGACTCCACACACCAATGCATATGCAATACTAGACAAGAAATATAGATAAAATATAAAACAATAAAAAATAGGACAATCCAGTCCCGCCACAACAATAATAACAAAACGATTCATATGTACACTTCCTGTCTAAAATCAGACTTCCATGATAAACATAAAACATCAAAATAACTATGGAACAATTAGATACAGCTGGACTGTCGTACTGTTGCAATTACTCATTTATGAAATGTCAATATTTGACAATGCGACCCTTCATTTTGTACGCCGTTTTGCTCTGCTGCACTTAGCTGCAGATTACTAAGTTCAGTCGGCGTCTGACTGGAACTGATTACGTATACGTTATTTGTCGAAAGACTCCTGTGCGCTGCAATCGAAAACCTTTTGCAGTTAAATATGTTGAAACTTCTATCAATTCCATTTGTCAAAGAGAATATGAAAAGTCAGCTTAAGAAACCAGAGAAGGGATTTGGCGGTTTCTTTACGAGAAAATATCTCTTGAAAAATAATAAATCGCTTGAAGAAGTAACCGCTCGAGCAATAAAACCAAATGCTGATGAAAATATACTTGAAATTGGATTCGGCCTTGGTAAGTGGAAAGCTTGGAAGTTATTACAAAATTATGCACTTATGCTAAACAAGAATTACTTATTCATTGTCTTCTTCACAGGAGACGGGCTGCAGTATGTTTTACAAAACGCTTCGAAGAATGGGAATGGTTTGCTGTATGGGGTCGATCATTCAGAAGCCATATGCAAATGGGCGCAAAACCTGATGTGTAAAGACATAGCGAATGGTAAGCTCATAATCCTGAATGAAGATGTTGCAAAAATGTCGATTACAAATGAAACGATAAACAAAGTGTTCCACGTTCATTGCAGTCATTTCTGGCCGGAAATAGATGTTGCATTGAACGAAATAAAACGAGTCATAAAACCCGGTGGTTTGGTTGTGTCTGGAGCGGACCTAACTCTAAAGAAATGGGGAGTTGAAAAAGGGCTAATAGACGAATGGATGTATGATTCAACAGGGTACACTGACGCTCTACAGAGGACTGGATTCGTGAACATAAATGAAGAGGACATCTTCGATCCTGGATTGGAGCATGATTTTCGACTCATTTTTGCCACAAAACCTGATGATAAAATCACGAAACAGTAAATATAATGAAACAACTTTCATTGATGCTTCTGGAATGGCATTGCAGACCATTTTGCAGACCAAAAAGATGCTTTTGATGCTTCGTTTCTGTTTCATTGAGGTGTTATGAAAAATGATATGTGAAATATTGTACTCTGAGATAATAGAATAGACCAGGGGTGTGCAACCTTTATTGCAGGAGGGCTAAATACAAGTCACTGAGTGAAGTCGCGGTCCACACCTTCATTGAATTAAGATATACCGTAGCCTTTCTAGTAGTTGTATACACAAAAGTTTTTTTTTTTGTTATTGATCTTACGGCATTGTCAGGGATCTATATTCGAAAATGGCGAGTTGTAATTGTCATTCAAATTTATTGTCACACCGACTTTAAACGAATTCAGTGATAAACACGTTTTTATAAAATTGTGTATTTTGCAACAGAATTTTGCTTGTTAGTTTTGCTAATATAGCAGTGGCACGCAGGTACTGGTAGAGGCTTTGCTACGCAAGAGGATTGGTATTGCTCCCACATGCCAAAATAACCAAACTTAAAACTGGTTTCTCGGGCACACCATTCAAAATTGGCCATATTTCCGCGGGGCGCACAATTATTCCGTGTGGGCCGTATCTGGCCCGCGGGCCGCAGTTTGCACACCCCTGGAATAGACGATTATAAGTGAAACAAGAGAACAATGCTCAAATATATGGACATAACAGCCAAAACTAAGCAGTACGGTATGCAATCTGTCGCAGCAGACTATAGGTACCACATCTTTGAAGACTCCACATGACCACCAGATATCAACTTACGCGAAAGCAGAACCGTCACAAGGTGCGCAACTTTTAATATTGATGTTGTCATCACACACACAGAAACGAAGACCAAAATGAAAAGTAGCACAGGTATGAAATCTGTCTTGACTACCGGTCCAGCAGTGTTTACGACTAACGGATTGCGGTGCGCAATTTTTGTTGGCCCATACAGCCCGCAGAAATTTTTGAAATGAATAAAAGTAATACCTGGTGACCGTACATTTGAACCCACGTACATTTGAACCCATGCGTATATCCGCGGGTTCAATCTATATGGGGGTGCTAAAACCCATGGGTTAGGGTGAGTATGGGTTCAAATATCCGTAAAACAAAAAACAATTCATAAGTGCGATAGTATGCAGGTGCAATTGTCATGGGTTCAAATGTACGTGGGTTCAAATGTAATGGAACCGTAATACCTTTCTAGCAAAATATAGAATCTTTAACCGCTAAAAATTCCAAAGAAATTAGGTCAGTAATAATTGAGGGAAGTGATTTTTTTCATAATGATATAAAAACATAACAATAATAACAAAACGATTCATATGTACACTTCCTGTCTCAAATCAGACTTTCACGATAAACATAAAACAGCAAAGTAACTACAGTCGATTAGTCATTTATGACATGTCAATATTAGACAATGCGACCCTTTATTTTATACGCCGTTTTGCTCTGCTGCACTTAGCTGCAGATTACTAAGCTTAGTCGACGTCTGACTGGAACTGATTACGTATACGTTATTTGTCGAAAGACTTCTGTGCGATACAATTGTAAACTATCTGCAGTTAAAGATGTTGAAACTTTTATCAATTCCTTTTGTAAAAGAGAATATAAAAAGTCAGCTTAAGAAACCAGATGAGGGATTGGGCGGTTTCTTTACGAAATACCTCTTAAAAAATAATGAATCGCTTGAAGAAGTAACTGCCCGGGCAATAAAACCAAATCCTGATGAAAATGTACTTGAAATAGGATTCGGCCGGGGTAAGTGGAGTTTAATATTTTACTGAAGTCTTCTGACCAAAACGTTTTTGGTCAATTTTATCATTTCAAAATGCTGCTCACGTTTTGTTGATATTCAAGCCCAAACATTTTTTGCAGGTAAAAATGTAGCGAGAAATAACTTCACTAAAAATAGAGAAAAAGGTTGCGATTTTCTACGAAATTTCTGCAAGTGCTAATCAAGAATTGCTGTGTGCTTATTCATGGGCGTAGCCAGGGATACCTGAAAGGCCATGGTTCCTAAAAAATTTGAAACATTCTTGCATTTGTAGTGAGGCATAAATTTTTACGTCTTTTACGACACCCTTGTGCTCTAATCTTGAATAATTCAGTGAAAACTGGACTTTTCCTGGCTAGCTATCAATAATCCTTTCACTGGAATAAACCAATCGAGGTAGATGAAAATGCGTGCAAACTTACCTTGGATAACTCCGACAGCGAAGTACGTTGTAGAGAGATTTATTAAGATATCAGTGTAAGCTTTTAACTGGCATTGTGATGTTATAAATTTTTTTGCCATTTTTACAGTTTTAGGATGGCTACGCTGTTATGCTTATTCATCGTCTTTTCCTACAGGAGACGGGCTGCATTATGTCTTACAAAACACTTTAAAAAATGGGAATGGTTTTCTGTATGGGGTCGATCATTCGAAAGCTACTTGCAAATGGGCGCAGAATCTGATGTATAAAGATGTAGCAAATGGTAAGCTCATAATCCTAAATGAAGATGTTGCAAAAATGTCGATTGCAGATGGAACGATAAACAAAGTGTTTCACGTTCATTGCTGTCATTTCTGGCCGGAAATGGATAATGCACTAAGTGAGATAAAACGAGTCATGAAACCCGGTGGTTTGGTTGTGTCTGGAGCTAATCTCACTTTAAAGAAATGGGGAGTTGGAATTGGGCTAACAGAAGAGTGGATGCATGATTCAACAAGGTACACTGACGCTCTACAGAGGACTGGATTCGTGAACATAAATGAAGAGATCACCCACGATCCTGTATTGGAGCATGATCTCCTACTCATTTTTGCCAAAAAACCTGATAACCACATCTCGAAATTGAAAATATAGTACATAAACTTTTATTGCTGTTTGCAGACCAATTTGTGAAAACGGAGATCGATTTTTGCGGACCCATATTTTCATGTATAAAATAATGGTGCGTTTGGCTACGAGACGCATCATTCGGAAGTTTATAATTTAATTATCTTTAAAGTTTCAGTTTATTGTATTCATGTACGCAAAGTTCATTATATTTTTGAATTGCTATCATATTATGAAAAAAAGTAATCTGTAGTGAAACGTTTACTTATAATATCTAATAAAGCATATGTTTATGTAAACTTATAAGTTTGCAACTCAAATCTTTGCTTGTCTGCTTTGCAAGTCTGTGCTTTTGATTGTGACATATTAAAACAAATAAAACCATACTAAATTACGTCGTACAGCATCGATAACCGCACGTAAGCGCTTCGTCGCAATATAATGTCTTTGTTTATATGAGAAAAAATATCGTTTGAACAGGCAAATGGAATTGCAACATCATGTTGTTATCTCCAACCAAATATTTGATGGTAAAAAAACGAGCGAGTTCAATCTATTTATCTAGCATCCTTATAGGTAAACGATCATCTGAGTTTGGCAAGGAGGCTACACCCCATTTTCCCATTGACCATTTTTATTTTTTCCAACCTCTTTTTTCGATTTCTGGGGACCAGGGGCTCATTTTCCCGGTAATTCTGCAATACTCGTAGCTATCATAGCTTCAACTTAGGTATTTGCACCCGACACTGATCTGACGAGAAATACTGATAGATTTGACCAGTTTCAAATGATTTTCATAGCATTGTACAAACGATCCGACGAAATGGTAATTATACAATCAAAATCAAGTTTTCCAGGTACAACAATGAATAGAAAACGAGAATATCGGTCATAGACCGAAGACTTATCGATCGAAAGTTGGGTGATTCCCCAAAAACGCTCTTACTCCATAGTGACACCTTGTGTCCCATCACTAATTAATTAATAACTCGCTAATTATGCGACATAATGCATCCAAAATCAATAGGCTTCTGGTACGACATATAATGAATGCACATGCAAAATCTGGAGCAGATTCAATCTCGCTTTCGTGAGATATCGCGTGCATCTAACAGACAGACAAACAGACAGACAAATACCTATCAACATACTTACCGATTAGAATCGATAAGTTATGACATTACCTCAATTAAAGTAATAGGCCTATCTAATACATTACGAAATGCGTTGAACATTCAGCTAGATAGGACTGAAACATAACTGTTTTAAGCAAATATAAAACATATCTGAAGTATTAGAATAATAGGGCAAAAGCTGAAATTTTAGTATAGAATTTATTTACAAATATGATGTGCTTTTTAAGCTGGTACACCATCATAGTTGACATGAAATCATACAAATAGCTGTATAATGCGGACATTTGCGTGTCTGTTCCGGGCTGGTTATTAATCGTCCTATTATAGAGCAAAATTACATTTCTTTTGTATAGCTGTTGCCATAGTAACAAACCTATGTTTACAGTACGTTAATTTATTTTTTTAGGCGGCAACGTCATAATTCTTTTGTTCATTTTTTATTACGGCATTAAATATTAATGTATATAACTAGTTGGATACGCTATAATTGAGTCCGAGTTTGAGTTGATTCAGTTTGCTATTTAACGCTCCAAGATAAGTCAGACAGGATATTTTAGACGATACTTTTGGTAAAATATTGAATATTTGATATTCACTGCTTAAGATTCTCCGGTATGTTGTTGGATTATCATGGACAAAAAGAGACAGAAAGTTCGAGGCAGCATGGTTTCAATCACGACACAAGTAAGTCTGTAAAACAGATCAATATAACGATCCATAAATAAAAGCTTAACATCATATAAATTGAGTATATCTTCTAATTGAACGCAAAGCATAGCTGTTTTCCTGATCGCATTGACGAGAACTGCTTCAAGTCTCGCATCCATTGTATCAATAACGCGCAATCCCACACTATAATTCTTTTTAGCGTCAATATTTATCGCTATTTTAGTTGTCAGTCGTATTTTGGCCCAGGGATATTATCTTCTATTTCCAAGTGAGTCCCCTATATCTTGATTTGAGTAAATATTCTTATAAAAAAAATTGAAAACCCAAATGGAGTTATTAAAATGTTGTTTTTCTGTATACAAACAACCTTATCATATTTAAACGTTGAATTTCAGCCTGATAACGAGAGAGAAAAGATCATAAAACTGGTGCAGGTATGGCGATCAAAATATGAAAAATTGTACGCCACATCACAGGGTTTTGATGAAGTTATCACCAAGTTGAAAAGAGAAAATGAACAAATCAGAGATGAAAAAGAAACGTAAGGACAAGTATTCCTTAATATGATCTGAAGTTGTAACATAATCAACCACTAATCGGTTATTGGTACAACAAAAGTAGCAGTCTTGAATATGTGCCGAACACTTGTCCGTAAAAAGTCACGCTTTTTATAGTTTCAGAGCGTTTCGAATTTTCCCTAATAGGACATATATTGAACTTTTTGTAACTTCTGTTAGTTGTAGCTTGTATATTGTGTCTGATATATGATTTTATTTGCTATATACTTAATGCAATGCAACATCAGTTATTATTATAACTATCAGCTATGGAGATACGCGAGACTATAACTATACCTTTCCCTGCTCTATGCCTTTGCTAAGTAAATCCCTGTGTGTATGAAGCAAGGATGATGTAGCCCAAATAAAGGTGACCATTCTATTTGATTCAAACGTCTTGTTGCACACGAACACAAATTTACATGCTATTGAATCCAATACAAGATAGTTGATTAATATTTGTTCACACTATCCCAGGGTCAGCCGCCAGCTTCAAGAGAAACTGACAAAGGAGAGGGAGGTGGCCGATATCAAAATAAGTGAACTTTTGACAATAGCTGACACAGCGGAAAAACAAAATGAATTAGAAACAAGAGATATGAAAACAAAACTTCAAAGATTAGAAAGAGATACGCAACCGATAATTAATATGTATAAAGTACGTGTCATATAATTAAGCCTAAAATTCAGGAAAAATAATTATCACAATAAAATGGGATAGGTTGGAATAAATGCTATCAATTGGGCTAACTACTTACCCATCTATAGTGCAATGCGGGTATATCCGTTTGTATATAATGTGAGGATGCTGTAGCAAGTGTGAAGGTAACTAACCTGAGTAATTCAAGTCTTACTGCACAATAACTAAAATGTGTGTTAAGATGTAGCAAGACTCTTGAATTGCTCAGAATAGTTACAATAAACCTGACATATATCGTAGTGTTTTTTATCACTCCAAGTCGTAACGAGACTAAAGATAATCCACTAATATGTAGCGAAATATTTGGCTCAAAAAAATAAAATCTACGTTGCTTTTCTTTATTGATTAACTGATTTGACCTTCTGGAAGCAGTGATAGATATGTTCTTAATCTGTGTCTTGTAACCACTATTTATTCAGTTAAAATCCTCTTGCCACCACGCTATTTTCTCTGAGAAACATTGAATAATAATTGCGACAACTTATTGAGGTCGATCGGGAATACCATCAAGCAATTTTTCTTATTCACAATTGAATGTCTCTTTGCAATTTTCAGGAACGAGTCGAAAAGATGCAGAAACATGTTGAGAAGACAGAAGAAACCAATGCTAATTTAAAAAGTGAAATTGAAAATTTGTTGGCAAAATTACAGCAAACTGATGTTGATAAAATTGACGAAATTAGTGAACTAAAACGAAGGTATTTAAAATACTCATAAACGTACGAAACAAAGAAACACCATGCCAGAAAAAAACGAAGAGCTGTTCAAAAAATACAAAATTTTTATGAAAATTTTCACACAGTTTCCAGTTTTGAACTTAGCAAAAATACAAAACAATTATATAACAACAATTCTTTATTCTAAAAATTATCAAAAGTCAGCCTTTCTCTTACTGCTATCTTCATGTATCTGACAAATAATTGATTCAAGTTGCAAAGATTTAATATTTTATATTTTAAATTGTTAACTTCATATTTATTTTTATATACACATCTAGCATGCGTGTGGACTCGCAATTAATGAATACATATATATATGTAAACGGATAAATAATAAAATGTACAAGTAACAAAACAAAATATACAATATATATACACCATACATTTTTTTTGTAAAATTTAGTCATCGACAGAAGCTTGTAGCAATGAAAATAGCAAATGCTGCCAAGTTGCAATTTCTGAAGAAAGCAGCAGAACAAAATTTAGAAGAACAAGCAAAACAAATGAACGCCGAACACGAGAATAAACTTAGTATTTCGAAGAACGGAAACGAACATGCAGAAAACAAAGGCGAACCAGAACATACAATGGAATCTATTGTGACTGTTGGCGAAAAAGAAATTGAAAACATCAAAAAACAGGTAGGTTATTTGTTCAATGAAAATATTTTCTCCGTAGAACAATTAAGTTTACTGACAGGTGAATAAATAAATACTAAAAGTCCAAGTTTTTTTCAAACACATGAAACACTCTTCAATCAGATTGTAGCGTTGCTCGGAAAAAGGTTATTGCAGTAGTAATTAGTATCAAATAATTTGGAATTAGTTTTTGGCCAAAACTTTATTTTATTTCAAATGATTATTACCTTTCATGCGTCACAAATTATTAAGCTGTAATACTAAATACCTACACGTACAAACAACATAACGTACAAAAGTATAGGAGACGATCACATGAAGCGTATGGTATTTAAAACAAAATTTTGAATTATTTTTCTAGTATGAACAGGAAAGCAAACAACTCAAAAGAGATGTTGAAAACATAAAAGCAGAAAAACAAAGAATCACCGATGAATTAAAATCGGAATTGTTCAAAATGAAGAAAAGGGTTGAACTCGGAAGAATAAAGTAAGTAGAAATCTAATCCCCCCCCCAAAGAAAAAAAAATAAAAGAATCGATGTCAGAACATAATCTAGAACGAATATAACTTTATAAGTACAATCATAAATAAACTGAATTTTGAATGTTAAAGTGTGATATAAATCTTCTTCATTTTTGTAGAAGTGATTAAGAAATTAATAATTACTGTTTTTTGGGTCACCCTGTTCAATAATGAATAGCTGTTAATAAATGATAGACTATTAAATTGTGTGTGTGTTTTTTTTAAATTTAAAGACTTCAACACAAGGAACAAGTGATTAAAGATTTGAAAATGACAATAACCGACGCAAACACTCAGCTATCCAGTGATAGAAACAGACGAAATATCATACGAAAAACTACAATACCAGTGAAAACTCTTTCCCGCCAACTAGTGGTGACAATAAGGGAAACAAGAAGCATCGAAAGAGCTTTGAAGCGAATAGATTCTGCCAAAGAATTCCATGGTTATATCGACGTAGATGACGAATTAAGGTAAGTTTCAACTGAAGAAAACATAATTAGCCCATTCGAATTTTTTTTATTCATCCTTATATTTCTTCAGAAGATAGGTGCATAAAACGAATATTCGGTGAATTTTTTGGAACCTATTTAATACCATGCTACGTTTGCCGACAAAGAGCTACAAAAATTTTTGCAAGATGTTTGATGAATCATAGTTTGAATCTTACAACTCTAACCTCAGACACGAAAACGGTTAGGTCACATGCAGAACCGCTAGTATGCCATCTTACCCACCCCTTGCTATAAAAAGAGGCGGACAGAAGTAATTCAAATTTTATCTCAGTTGTCAAAAAATTGTTGATTATGATTTTCAATCTCGATCTGAAATGAAACAAATTGATTCAAAATTCAATTTAATATTTTATTCACAGGTTAGAAATACTTTACACGTCAAAAATCGCGGAAATTAACCGACTGAAGCGTCTCATTCATGACAAATTGATTGAAGTTGTCTACCAAAAGCCTCAACAACAAAGCGAAAATAATAAACTGTTCAAAAGACAGTCACAACCTGTGATGATGCGAGAGTCCAGCTTTGAAGATGATGAAATAGTATTTTTACGAAGTGGTTATGGAAGTGACACAAGTTCTGATATGTCATTACAAGATGAGACACTGGACGAGGGTTCAAATCCAGATCGAGGACGGATTGAAAAAATTGATATTGAACGCAGAGAAGTAATTCGGTACCCAGTTGATCGAACTGACAGAACCTCGTGGTTATTGTCTCCTAAACACTACAGTACGACAGATATTAGATAACTGCATCAATATATCCCGTTATTAAATTCTACATATTAACAACAGGTTTCCTCACTCCAGAAAAAAAAATCCAAACTTATAGCTCTAAAAACAAAATCTGGTTCGCTGATTGCAGCGTTATTCCCAGAACGGGTTCGCACGAACCAGCTAACCTAGAATTGATAGTTTACCGGAAAACATAGAGTTATACAAAGCTTCCGTTATCCAAAAGAGTCATAAAAGTTTTCTGAATTATGTCTTAAAGACAGTGCGCGCATAAGGTAAAATCTAGGAACGGCGAGCATTGCCAACTTGTTTAACGTCGATATATTTTGGTATATTTATTTATTTATTCATATTTTTTATTTCTTTATAGCTGTTGCTATTGTTAGTGTACAGTATAGATATGTGGCGCATTGTAATCTATTATGCGATAAGAAAGTACAACGTTGTTGTTATCTTATTGATCTTAATTTATTTGTTGGTCTCACTGTCAAATCATGAAGCGACTGTTACTCTACCTTCTTATTGAGCTTATTTAAATTTGTTCGTCGGAGTCATTTCACGGTTTCCCCTAATAAAGTACTTGCATATTGTTGACGGTGTTTCTTTAAATAAAACTAGACAAATAAGGAGTATACAGATGTCACTTAAATATATACACATCAAGTATAAGAATATGCTTGAATAGCTCATTGTATTCATTATCCTTGAGGAGAAACAGATGACATTTGATGCAATATTGTGAAAATTGTTAATTATAAATAATAATCAGTACTTGTATTCTAACTTTCATTTAGGGCTAATGGCAATGTAAATATGTATGTGCGAGTGTGAGGAGCTCTGAGGCAACTGGTTGGTCATCTGATGAATCAACAACATTATGGGGGCCAGCTTTAAAATCAGAGCTTATAATATATTTATATTTCTTTTAATGAAAATTATATATTAATTCATTATAAACTTTATTCTAATAATTTAAAAATATTCATTTTCTCGTTGCTCAGATGAATAAGCTTATTTTTATATTTTTGGCGTTTCTTCTTATTTCTCTGTGCATCGACACAGGATTGTCCAGGTAAGCAATTTCTTTATATTTTGATTTAATTTCCTGCGAGAGTTATTACATTGCGTTGTTTTTTCCCGATAATTGAACGCATTATTTATTTCCCGAGGGTACTATGAATTTGAACAGATACTACAGCTATTTAATTTTTAAGAACAATGTAATAATATAATTCGGGAGAAATATATATATAAGCCCTTGTTCATAACTTTATTCTGTTGCTATTTCGTGGATGTACACATTTATGTTGCCCGATTGTGCAATATGTCTGTTTTTTTTATTTAAGTTCTTTTTGAAATTTCCCATGCAGTACTTGAATGTTGCATGTTCAAACTTTATTTAAAGTTTTGAAAACTATCCTATATTTCCGCCCTGTGTGTTTGACTTGTATGTTGTAAATTTTATACCATGGTGGCCCATTCAGTACTTTTATGTCGTATGTCCAAAGCAGGGTTCTCAACCTGGGATTCGCGAACCCCCAGGGGTTCAAGGGGCGATTTCCAGGGGTATTTGGATTGCGATTGAGTTTGAGTTTACAATACAATTTAGGCAATATATTACAACTTTGTTTGGTGTCTGAGAACTGGGGGTAAAGGTTGATTGTTACATTACTCGGAAGTACTTAACAGGAAAAAGGTTGAGAATCCCTGTTCCAAAGTATTGAAGACTCTTCTGAATTTTTGTACTGTGTTTTCGTTTTAATAACATGGCGGAGTTCAATATAAATTACTTTGGGAACCCAATAATAAAATCAGGAAACATAATTTTTGACAGAAAAAAGAAGAGCAAAAGTTGGAAGATGTTACGACCTGCAAGTAGATTCAAAAAACAATGGCGTTATGTTCGATTTTCATCAATACATGGACCCAGACATCAGAGTTGGGGATCTTCGCGGCCAGTTATACAAAATACAGAGTTGGAATTAAATGACGTTGATGGTCAGTACATTTTATTGAGGTTTTATTGTTCCCGCGCCATAACGATAAATAGTTCCGTCCAGTGGCGTGACAAAGAGGTTAGTGGGAACCAGCGGCATTTCGTGATGTTAGCGAACCCGTTCTTGTTTTTTGTTTCATATTCATACGTTTGACATACACAGCAGCTGACAACTAAATTTGTATTTGTAGTTTCCTGTAAATGTAGCTCACTTAGTAATATACATACATTTCCTGAAATTATGGAGCCCGTTGTTAGACAGTTTGATACAAAGGCGCAACGCTTCTTAAAATTTCGAATCTTGCCACGGGCTCTGTCCCACACAAACTGGCTTTTCCGGTTTTATTCCATCGACTTTTTGTTAATTCGCATTAGTGCTGATGATCAAGAACATCATATTTTCTATCGCAAACTGTTCGTGACGTGAACCCTCTTTGTCGTGACGTATAAATATAATATCGTCAATGCAAATCATTGCTGTGTTTATCGACATATGTTCATTTTGCGCTAAAGTGCGACGCTACTTGTCGACGACTAACAAATTGAATATTTAAAGATTAAATGAAAACTTGAGAAAGAAACATTATATAAATAAACCAAATTTATTGACAAAGATGTTCGTTGCTCTGGCAATCATAGTATCTCATTTTTCTCGAAATGCGTTTTTGGTTGAGATGCTTTTGTTTTCATATAGATAGGTTGCCACATATTATCTGAAATTCAGTTGTCACTCCAGCATAATATATTGCTGGAGGAAACTGATAAAGAAAATATTCATGAATAATTCAAACATATTGTACGGCTGAACATTACATTTCATTGTCACTTACACTTGATTTCTATTTCGCGGGTTAACTCATTTCCTTACATTGCAGCCATGACCCTTAATTGAACTTAGGCGATACCACAGTCGGAGTTACGGGATAACAGCATGAAATTGTTTAATTTTCTTTTTAATTGTCACTCACTACAATGTGGGGTATCTATTGATTTTAAATCAAATTTAGCTTTCCTATTGTTCTGGCACTGTCCCAATTTTATTTATATCTCTCTATCGACAGACCCAATATTTGAAACCAATATTTATGTGCATGCAATTGCGTTTCTTGTTATAGTTGTAAAATGCTTGTCTGAAGAAGTCTGACCTCGATCAGACGAAACGTTACAGAAATATATCTGTGTTTGTGTGCAGCAAGACTCTTGAATTGAATATCGTATTTTATTTTCAGAAAACTTCGGATCATTCGTCTAATCACATTATGACAAGAAAAGAAATCTAATACAATTTTCGTTTTCAATATGTTGCCAAATAGATGATTTAATAGATACACACAAATAATTATTTATACACGTAATGCTGTTTAAGTTGCCGATGTGGTTACTAAATTCAGAGATGTAGAGTCAGAATCTAGTATCCGAGCTAATGCTTGAAATTTCCAGAACAGAAATAAGGCATTCATGGATTATTGCTTAGAGCAGAGATGCGCAATACACAGCCGCCAAACTAATTTAGGTGTTGCGCGCAAGCAGGGATGTTTTTAGAGGCCCCGGGCAGCACGTTATAGAGATGAGTTTGACGATAACAAGAGGGCTACGCCCAAATATATGGACACGTCTGTTCGCAGTACAGTACGGTTTACCGTACCGTCAGATCACAGTCTACAAATATATTCACACCAAGCGAAGCAGTACAGTAGGACACAAAATGGCGTCCGATGTCTGCAGAACGTTTAATGACGTCATAGCAAACAAAAACAAATCTCACAGAGCTAACAGAAATATTTAAAATGAATAAAAGTAATAGCCTTCTGGGGAAAAAAGTTTTATCTTCAACCACTGAAAATTTCAAAGCAATTGGTCCAGTATTCGAAGAAAAAAGCGGTTTTTTAATATTTCCACCAGGTGTGTTATGCTGTGTCAAATAACAACAAGAACAACATAATATTGAAACAATCGGTATGTCCACTACGTGTCCAATAATATTAATAGTTTGTGTAACGTAACGCTGTTGGAAATTGCGTCAAAAAGGAATTAGTAACAATTATTACTTTATTAGCGCCGTGTTGTGGGAAATCATGCTAGAATAGTGATCTCTTTTTCAGTTGCATAAATGCTGTGAGTAGTAGTTCAAAAATAAGGCCGTTCAAGAAAAAATACAATAATCATCTTTCTGTTGGTTACGGTATAGCCAAGTCAATTTTGTGTTGCCATTTCCACTGTAAGTGATCTCAAATCGATGAGACATCTCTCACCCAATAAGTTGATTCAATTTATTTGCTTTTTCGATAATTAAATTATTCATAAAAACGAACGAGTTGTTCGATGTTCTGGTTCTCATCGTCACTATAATTTTACGTTTTATACCATCGCTTAAAGAGTTGCACGCCCCTGGACCAAAACCTGAATCTCCACTCAACACGGAGTCAAATTGTTAACCTGAAGCTAGGAGTTTGGCGGAAGCAAAGACAAAAAAACATCCTTTCAAATTCCCTCCGAAATTCCAATCAAATGTTGAATGAATTGTACCAAATGTCTAATAAAGGTATTCTTGGAAATAAACAGCAAAATATTGTGTTTAATATCGGTCCATGTATTGCCCTTTTTCGTCTATTCCATTTTGACGATTTGAAATCGTTTGGTCCAGCACTTACAGAGTAGAGCGATTTTTTGCAACCTAACAACGAAAAGTCCAAGCAGAACAATAACAACAATATAGCGAAGCGATCTATACGTCCCAGAATGATTGTTGTATGAGCTGATATAGTATTGAGCACCCATCTGAGCACCGAAGGCTATATGTGTATGAGGTTGCAGAATACAGAAGTACATAATTACGATACATCGGAATATATATATATATGGCTATGCTATACAGGGTGAAGTCGACCGCTGTAAATGAATAATTAAAGTATAAACCCGCATAGCGCACATGAGTAAACAAGAAAAATAATTTTGACCCTTGACGTCGTGCTTTATCTCAGTGTTTGCCAAACTTTTTGAGCAGCGCACCCATGTTTTAGAATATAATTTTTAACGGACACCCATTATATGCCGTATAAATTCCTGTGCATAACAAACGAGGAATGATAATGTTTCATTTACATCACAATAACACAAACGATATTAATGTGTTAGATCAGATTACTTTCGAGTGCACAATTTATCAATTGTCGTAGCAATTTGCGATAAGCAAACTCGTAAGTCCGACTCGACGGCAAGTCTCGACCTGTATTTTATCATCGAATTGGTAAAAGGTGAAAACGCTGCGTCAAACATACAGGTTTATCTAATTGCCCTAT